TGGGTTGCTGGTGTAAGGATCTAGTTAGAATGTACTGACATTCCCAAAGAGAAATGTTCCAAGAGGGAGAGCACAGGTTTGGGGAATAGAGGTGACGGGAGATGATGAAGTTCAAGACTTACTTGAAGTTCATAGATAAAGTACTATTAGGTCACAAATCTCATGGTTCTTGGTCTAAATTCCTTCCCTAACACTTTCGGTTCTTCAACTTTGGTCTCCTTTAGAAAGACTTGAAAGCAAGGTCTGGTAAATGTATAGATAACCAGAGCACATCTATGTAGATTATTATTTAGTATGTGTGGAATGCAGCTTGAACATCTGTATTTCTAAAAAGATATTTCCCCAGTCTGGGGCTCACCAAATATTGAGAATAATTGCACCCCACTATACAGTAGTTGCTTATTTTGGTTCATTTAAACTATCTCGAACTATTTCATAATTTTGTACTTAATGTATAAATAGATACAACTTTCTTCAACATACCACCGAAGTATTTGTATTCGATAGGGCAGCCCATGCTTGGTTCAGGGGAGAGAACCAGTATGGGAAAGAAACTAGTATTGGAAAAAGTTCAGAAGTCTACACTGATAGTCAATGATTGTACAGAGAAAGTAATCGTAGGATAACTTTAATACATTAGCTATCTATACTTTCTAATTGTACAAGGGAGAAGAGGAAAGAAAAAAAATTATAGGATTTTTTTTACCAGAGAAGGGAAGGAAAAAAGAGATGGAAAAAGAAATGCCAATGAAAGAACTGTGAACAAAGCAGCAATCGCCAGGAAATAGAAGGAGAGCAAATGGTCTCTTCATGATGTGTCCTGCATATCACCTTTTTATCTGTTTAGTTTTAGTTGTTCTAATGTCGTTTTCTTTGAATTTGGTACAGGACATGCTAGGAGATTTGTTTACTCCCATAGAGACACCAGAAGCTCAAAATAGAGGCTTTCTGAAGGGACTGTTTGGTGGGAGTGGACAGACATTTGACAGAGAAGAGCTGTGTGAGTAAACTCTTCATATTGATGTATCACAAATAGAAGACTTATGTAATATGTGATGTCAAATTCTAGACGTTTTTTTACTTCTATCTTAAAGTTTAAATATTATTTTTCTTCTATATCAAGAAAATTATTTCTGTTTATCAGAAAAGAATAAAACTGGTCACTTCATATTCAAAAATAGCTTAACAAAAATGATACATATAATTCATATAAATAATAAGAAGCTGGGAGATCAAAATGGCTGATTTAAAACACTCACCCTTGGGACCAGCAGATGATGTAATAGATATGTTGCTGGACTCCCACATGGCCAACCACTGTTCAAGTCCTGGACCCAGTGGCTTGAAACTCACACTGGATGCGTGGTGCATGTGCATGCAATCCCAAGATCCAGGGAGGAGAATGGTGAGAAAGGATCGCAGCATGGCCATCCCCACTGGGGGGTGAGTTCTCGCTTTCTGTCTCTCTGTCTCTGTCTCTGTCTCTCTCTCTCTGGTGAGTGCATGTGCCCTATAGCAAAAACCTCTCTTAAAAATTTTTAAAAAGGAAAAGGATGCATCCACTCTGGAACCTCTCTGGGAAGAAAGGCTGAAAAAAACAAAAGTTGACTAAAGCTAAGCTTCCAACAGAGAAGTCAGAAAAGACTAATGAAGTATGAGAAAAATGTCTGGGGAACCAGCAGTTAGCATAATGGCTATGTCTCTGGACTCCCACGTAGTCGACCACGGTTCGTGTCCTGGACCCGGTGGCTTAAAACTCACGCCGGGCACGTGTGCGTGCGTGCCCAAGATACTGAGAGGAGAATGAAGGAGAAGGGATTGTGGCGTGACCATCCCCCCTGGGGGGGTGATTTCTCGCTTTCTGTCTCTATGTCTCTCTCTGTCTGTCTGGTGAGCACATGTGCCCTATAGTGAAAATCTCTCCAAAAAAAAAAAGAAAAGAAAAATGTCTGAAGCTACCTTCCCCCATCACAGGGGAGAAGGTAAGAGGAACTCTCCCCTGAAACTCTGAATTCTAGATTCCCACATGGGATCTCAAAATTCCTCACCTGCAGAAGTACAATAAAATTGGGAAGGAACTAACATACATCATGGGGAAGTGCCTAGATAAACCATTTCAGAGAAAACACCCCACCCTCCACCCCAAACTACAAGAGCGCTGTATTGTTCTACAAGCAGACTAGTGGGTAGAGTCCATTTACAATAAGGACTTCACATCCTACAAGGAACAGAAGAGGCAAAAGAGAGCACCCTCACTCAAACAGAGGCTGAGGAATCCAGACACTTAACCCTGTATGGTGGGCAAGTCAAGCCTACACTCTCCCACCCTTCAGACTCCAGTCCAGGGACAGTGGCTACCAGTCCTAACTGATGCTACCCACTCTGCAACTCTTCTGGACCTCCCTGAGCTATGAATGTGGACAAAAGAAAGGAGAGGAACACCTGACGAGAGGATACCAGAGATCTGCCCTCCTCCAGCTCAGAGTGAAGAAGACAGGGCATTTCCCTAGACTACCTCATGAAGTTCATGATCCAGTCACCTAACTCCTAGCAGAAGTCTGCTCTAATTCAGTAAGGCTCCCTGAATCTCTGTAGATTGTAGACTGGTGAGGGCTTCACAGATAGGTCTGCCTCTGATGACCTTCCCAGGGCCATATCCAGGCACAGAAAGTTCCTCTGCCTCTGGGTATATATCACAAGCAATGCAGGACCAGTTTCTGGTATGGCACAGATACACAGAGACCACTTAGGACCCATATCCTAGCGCCCAAAGATAGACTTGCCTCTGGACCTTCCTGGACAGTTGGTTTTCAGCCACTCCTAGACCACCTTGGCAGGAGCATAGTTGGGACTTACAGCTCTCCAGTCCCCCCAACATTACAGAATCTACTCCAAGAATCAGGAAGAAGTGAGTAGTGTACCAAATGTCTAAAAATCAATGCAGAGACACAAGAAATATGAAAAAAAAAAGGAAATATCTCTCCCACAAAGTAAACAACTCCTCAGAAACAATAGATAACATACAAGAAATCACAGAAATGTCATAAAAAGAATTCAGAATATTGATCATAACAAAACTCAGTAAGTAAGAGAAAACAGATAGCCAATTGTAGGAAATACATAAAGTGAAAGACACCATAAAAAGGAATCAAACAAAACTACTGGAGATAAAGAATACAATACAGGAAATTAAATCTCTGTTAAAAGTATGAATAACAGGTTATACCAGTCAGAAGAAAAAACCTCTGAGCTTGAAGACAAAACCTCTGATTTACTCCAAGCCGCCAAAGAGAAAAAAAAAATTATAAACATTAAAATTGAAGACAACATATAAGAAATTATAGGTGCCAGTAAGTGGCTGGAAATCCACATAGCCTTCAAATGGGTAAAAAAATATAATCATTCCCAGAAAAAAACTTAAAAGATTCCACCAATACTAGATCAGCTCTTCAGGAAATACTCAAAAGAATACTACATCAGGAAAACAAAGGGAGACAAATCGAAATAAAAGAAGATAACACAACTAAGAAAATGACTAACAAAATGATAGGGACAAGTCTAGAATGTTAATGAAATGGATTTTAAAAAGCAGGACACTTACATATACCTCTTACAAGAAACACATTTTATTGATAATGACATACATGGATTGAAATTAAAAGACTGGAAAAAGTCATTTCATGCAAACAGAAAGAACAAACAAATCTGGAGTCATAATACTAATATCAGACAAAACAGACTTGAAGATAAATACTGTAAAAAGAGACAAAGTAGATCACTATATAGGGATTCATTCATCAAGATGACATAACAATTATAAATATTTATGAACTCAACACCAGAGCACCCAAATACATAAAAAAAAAAAAAAGAATTTTAGACCTAAGGGAGAGACAGACTACAATAACACTGGTTGCTGAGAATTTCAGCAATATACTCTCACAATTTTATAGATATTTACAGAACATTCACCCATAAACTATAAAATACACATTTTTCTCGGTCCCTCACAGTATTTTGAATGACTGACCACACAATAAAGTATGAAGAAAGCTTTTAAAAATTTAAAAGTATAGGAATTATATCTAGAATCTTTTCTGACTGCCTTGGAATTAAACTTGAAATCAACAACAGAAATAGCCTTCAAAAATGCACAACTACATGGAACTCAAACAGTTTATTCCTGAACAAGTTTGTTTTTTCTTTCTTTTTTAAAATTAAATCATTTATTTTACATTCTTTCACTGAACATCATCACAGCATACAAAATGCAATTTTGCATCCAGAATACACTGTATGGTGACTTAATCATACATGTTATTGTCCTCAAATAATTTTCCATTTCTTGTTTCTTATATATATATTTCTCCCTATTTCTCACCCTCTGCCATTTCCTACCCTCCCCCCACACTGTCTTCCTGAACAACTTTGAAACTGATGAAGAAACTAAGACTGAGTTTTAAATTTTCTTGAAACAATAACAAAAACACAATTCTCCAGAATCTTTGAGACATAGTGAAAACAATCCTAACAGCAAAGTTTATAGCAATTAGTGTTCACAAGATAAAAATACAAAGATGGCAAATAATTTACATAAAGATGCATCTCCAAGAAGTAGAAAATTGATCCAGATACCTGTTCCAGTGAAGGGCCTTGCCGGACTGCAGACTACCTGTGGCTGCAGGGCTTAAAGGCTGAGACCAGTGGTTCATCCTCTCCTCCAGTCACCTTTAGTCTCTCAGGTGTCTTTCTTTGGACTTTGAGATAAACTTGCACCCCTCCCAACCCCATTTTACACCCTTCCAGCGAAGGGCCTTGAGAGAAGGCAAGCTGCTTGCAGCTACAGGACTTAATGGCTGGAATCCATGGCTCATCCCCTCCTCCATTCACCTTTGAACTCTCAGGACTTTAGGGTTTTGTATAGGCTTGGGCACTGTGCAATCTCTGCTTTGTTACTGAGTTGAAGCTCAGCAGCTCAGTTTCAGGTGCACCTGTTCTCTAGAAACAGGGAAGACTTTGGGTCATCCAGGACCAGTGACAACAGTGCAGAATGCTAGTGAGCAACAGGGAGGCAGAACACAAGAGAGATTGCCAATTTCCTACTCCTGCACTCCTTTGAATGGTTGGAGATACTCTGAATAATTTAGAAATGAATGTATAGACCACCACATGACTAGGAACCATCACAGAGGCACAAGAAATATGAGCAACCAACAAAATATTTCTTCCCCAAGGGAAAACATCAATTCCTCAGCACCCACAGACAACACAATGGAACTCATAGAAATATCAGATAAACAATTCAGAATATTTTTAGTGACCAAACTAGATGAGATGCAAGAGAAAAGGCAACAAGCTCCAGGAGATGAGGAAGTCTTTTCATGATTTGAATGAAGAAATAGACACCATAAAAAATAATCTAATGTAACTGTTAGAGATGAAGAATGTGATGAGGAAATTAAAACCTCCCTTGAAATTATTTTTAAAAGTAAATTGGATCACACAGACAATCTAATCTTGATGTAGAAGACAAAAATTCTGACTTAAAACAGTTATCAAAAAGACTGAGAAAAGGGAACCAACAGTAAGCGTAATGGCTATGTTGCTGGACTCCCACGTAGTCAACCACGGTTCGCGTCCCAGACCCGGTGGCTTAAAACTCACGCCGGGCGCGTGTGCGTGCGTGCCCAAGATCCCGAGAGGAGAATGGAAGAGAAGGGATTGCGGCGTGACCATCCCCCCTGGGGGGGTGATTTCTCGCTTTCTGTCTCTATGTCTCTCTCTGTCTGTCTGGCAAGCCCACACGCCCTATAGCAAAAACCTCTCAAAAAAAAAAAAAAAAAAACTGAGAAAACAGCCAAGAAAAATGAAGATAATATATGAGAAATACTAGATACCATCAAGTGCCCAAACATCTAGATAATTGGTATACAAGAAGAGGAAGAAAATAACAAGCGTATCAATAATTTTTTTTTTTTGGAGAGATTTTTGGTATAGGGCATGTGCACGTGCCAGAAAGACAGAGAGACAGAAAGCTAGAAATCACTCCCCAGGGGGTTTGGCCATGCCGCAATCCCTTCTCCTCCATTCTCTTGGGATCCTGAATATGCATGCACACGCATCCAGCATGAGTTTAAGCCACCGGGTCTGGGACTTGAACCATGGTCAACTACATGGAAGTCCAGCAACATGACCATTCCAACTGCTGGTCCCAAGGGTATCAATAATATATTCCAGGAAATCCTGGAATAAAACATTCCAAACCCAGAGAGGCATTCAAATATCTAGACCCAAGAAATATATAGGACCCCAAATAGAACAAACCCAAGAAGATCCTCTCCAAGGCACATCATAGCCACATTGGACAAAACCACATACAAAGACAAGATACTAAAATTGGTAGAGGGAAACATTAAGTTACTTACAAAACTTATCCCATCAGGCTAACATCAGACCTCTTGTCAGAAACAATGCAGGCAAGAAAAGAATGGGGAAATATAGTCGAAGTGTTAAATGAAAAACAATTTTAATCAAGGAAGATTATCCTGCATTTGAGAAAAGAAGATTAAAAAATTTTTTTTGGAAAAATAAAACCTGAAAGAATTTACCAACTCCAGACCAACTCTTCAAGAGGTTCTACAGGGAAAACTAAAAAGTCAGATGGACAGATATACGAGAACAAAAAACAACCAAGAAAATGGTTCACTTAATGATAGGAACAAGTCCAGAAATATCGATAATAATGAACATGAATGGATTAAATGATCTGATCAAGAGACACAGACTGGCTGAACGGAAAAAAAAGAAAAACAAACAAACAAACAAAATAACAGAAACCCTCTATTTGTTGCCTACAAGAAATGCACCTTATGGATAAAGAAGGTAAAAATAATGTAGAAAGAGAAGCAGGAATCTACCAGAAAAATATATTCTCATTTTTGTACTATTCCATGCAAATGAAAATCAAAAAACGGGCTGGAGTTGTGATACTGATTTTAGGCAAAATAGACTTTAAGATAAAGACTGTAAGAAGAGACAAAGAAAGGTATTATATAGTAGTAAATGGGCTAATTCTCCAAGAAGATGTAACACTTACAAATATCTACGCATCCAACTCAGGAGCACCTACATATGTGAAAGAAAGACTGCTGGAGCTAAAAGGAGAGAGAGGTTGCAACACTCTAATGGTTGGGGATCTCAACACCCCATTATATCCTTTAGATGGATCTTCTAGAAAAAAAATAAGCAGAGAGATACAGGACCTAAATGATACTATAAATCAAATAGCCTTGACAGACATCTATAGAACTTTCCACTCTAAGACCATGAAATATACATTTTTCTCACCCCAACATGGAAACTTTTCAAAGATTGACCATATGATAGGGCACAAATCAAGCCTTTACAGATTCAAAGACATAAATACTATATCCAGTATCTTCTCTGACCATGATGGAATTAAATTTGATATTAATTGCAGGAAAAATTCTCAAAAATACACAACACATGGAAAATAAACAACCTACTTCTGAATGACTTCTCAACTACTGAAGAAATTAAGTCTGATCTCAAAAAATATTTGAAAACAAATCATAATGAGTACACAAGTTTCCATAGTCTATGGGACACCACAAAAGCAGTCATAAGAGCGAAATTCATAGCAACTAATGTGCATAAGAAAAAGATGGAAAGGTGACAAATGAACAACTTAACCTCATGCCTCAGGAAGTGGAAAAACAACAACAAACAATCAAAAAAAAAAAGAGAAAAGAAATAATAAAGATTCGAGCAGAAATAAATGAAATAGAAAATAAATGAACTATACAGAAAATAAACGAAAGCAAAAGCTGATTCTTTGAAAAGATAAATAAGATTGACACATCATTAGCTAGACTTATTAAGAAGAGAAATAGGAACCAGATAAATCAAATATATAATGAAACAGGCAATATTACAACAGATATAATAGAAATACAAAACATCATGGGACCAGCAGTTAGCGTAATGGCTATGTCGCTGGACTCCCACATAGTCGACCACGGTTTGTGTCCCGGACCCGGTGGCTTAAAACTCATGCTGGGCGCGTGTGCGTGTGTGCCCAAGATCCCGAGAGGAGAATGGAGGAGAAGGGATTCTGGCGTGGCCATCCCCCCGGGGGGTTGATTTCTCGCTTTCTGTCTCTGTCTTTCTGGTGAGCACACATGCCCTATAGCAAAAACCTCTCAAACATGCCCGATAGCAAAAAAGAACTCTAAAAAAAAAAGAGAAAGACAGACAAAACATCATTAGAGGATACTATGAGCAACTGACTATATGCCAACAAACAAGAGAACAAGGAGGAGATAGACAAATTCCTGGATGCATATAATTTACCAAGATTGAATCAGGAGGACATATAAAACCTGAATAGACCCATAACAAGCCCTGAGATTGAATCAGTAATAAATAACCTCCTGACAAAGAAAAGCCCAGTGGGAATTAGGACAGCCACTGTGGAAAATAATATAGAGAATCCTCAAAAATTAGAGCCAACAGGTGGTGTGGAGATTAAGGCAGCTGGATCCCACATGGCCTACTTTGTAGTTTGAGACCCGGACTAGGTGACTTGAAAATCATGCCAGGCATATGTGCATGCATGTCCCAAATCCTGAGACAGAATGAAGGAGAAGGGATTGTGGTGTGGCCACCCTCTCCCCCCAGAGAGTAAATCAACACTTATCCTCTCCTCTCCTCTTGTCTCTCTCTCTCTCTCTCTCTCTCTCTCTCCAGCAAGTGCATGCATCCTATGGCAAAAATCTAAAATTAAAAAAAAATTACAAATAAAACTATCATATGACCCAGTAATACCACTCTTTGGTATTTACATAAAGGACAGAGAAACAGTCAAAAAGACACTTGCATATCTATGTTTATTGCAGTATTATTTACAATAGCTAGGACATTAAATCAACCTAAGTGCCCAATGACTGATGACTCGATTTTAAAAATATGGCACATATACACAATGGAATACTACTCAGTCATAAAGAACATTGAAACTATCATTTGATACAAACTGTGTGAATATAAGGTTTAATGCTAAGTGAAATAAGTCAGAATATGAAAGACAAACAGTGCATGTCCCCACTCAATATATATTGAATGTCTGTCCTCTTTGGCAGAAATTGAAAGATTCAAAGACATAATAGTAGAGAGGAAAAGTGTAGATACCAGAAACTGTACGGGAATTGGGTGAATGCTATAGGGTGTGTGAGAGGGAATAAAAGCATTTACCAGACACAAGAATGTAAGGTTCTTTGTTAAAAATGGTATCTGTGATAATACCCTTGATTTGATTATCACACACTACATGCCTCCTTTGAAAAACCATATTGTATGCCATAAAGATATACAATTAAATGTAAATAAAAAATTATAAAATAAAACTAGAAAAATTTTAATTAAAAAATGAACAAGATATTAAAGTTCTCATTTGTGGGTAGATCACACCACATGGCAAAGTGAAAGCATTCAGTTATTAAAGTCTGAAAAAATTTTTTTCTATGCAAAAACACATCATGACTTTCCCAACACACTAGATTCTTTATTCGGCATGTAAGATTTATCTATGCACAGAAAAAAATTACTTTAAAAACTTACCAGTAGAGTCTGGTGAACAATAATAAAAAAATAATAGAAAGATGCTAGAGAAAATTTTCAAAGAGAAGGTAAGAATATATTTTTCAAAATATCCTACCACCATTTAGTCTTCAAGATCAAGATCTCTTTATCTTGAATTTTAGCTATACAAAAAAACCTAGGTGCCTCCATGCAGAGGAATATTATTTGTCCACGAAAAGGAATGAATTACCAATACATGCTACAACAAGAATGAAACTTGAAAACTGTAAGTCAAAGAAGTCAGACCAAAAAGAAAAAAAAACATATTTTATTATTTCATGAAATGTCCAGTCTCTCTGTAGAGACTGAAAGTGGTTGTCAGGGACTGAAGTGAAGAGAGAAAAGGAATTGGCTGTTAGTGAGTATGTGATTTCTTTTTGGGGTAATGAAATGTTCTAAAATCAGATGGTGGTGATAGTTGCACAACTTTGTAAATACCTTAAAATCCAGTAAATTGTATTCTTTAAAAGGGTAAATTGTATGTGAATCCTATTTCAATAAGGGTCTTATGTTTTAAAAAAATCTAGATTCCATCCCAATGATACATCTGTGGGAATGCTCACTAAATTTCTTTAAAAATAGCATTTTTTCAATAAAATTCTTTTACTTTACTGAAATGAAATAGAACTGAGTTTTGCAGATGACTGTAAAATTTTTAGTCTCATGGGAACCAGCAGTTAGTGTAATGGCTATGTCGCTGGACTCCCACGTAGTTGACGGCAGTTTTGCGTCCCGGACCCGGTGGCTTAAAACTCACACCAGGTGCATGTGCGTATGTGCCCAAGATACTGAGAGGAGAATGGAGGAGAAGGGATTGTGGTGTGACCATCCCCCCTGGGGGGTGATTTCTCGCTTTCTGTCTCTATGTCTGTCTCTGTCTGTCTGGCGACCGCACGTGCCCTATAGCAAAAATCTCTCCAAAAAAAAAAATTTTTTTTTAGTCTCTTATAAAAGTTATAAATTTAAACTCATGTAGATTAATGTCCATCATTTATATAATAATAGATTCCATTCTCTAATATTTACACAGACAGAGAGAATCTGCATCCTACAAGGGTTGATATATGTCAAAATGAACAGAGAAGGTTGGAATAAGACCCTATTCAAATTACTAATTAAAGTGTTTTTAAATTTCTGTGGTTTGCACTCCCAGTTGGGGAAGCTTCTGCAGGAAAAGCATCCCGCAGCCTTGCTCAGCACATCCCAGGACCAGGTGGAATAGAAGGAATGAAAGGTGCTGCTGGAGGGGTCATGGGAGAGCTGACCCGAGCACGGATTGCACTTGACGAGAGAGGACAGAGGCTAGGAGAGCTGGAGGAGAAAACTGCAGGCATGATGACCAGTGCAGAAGCATTTTCCAAACATGCACATGAGGTAAACTACTTAAATAAACACAGATGTCTTGGTTTAGTAGTAACTTTAAACATTTAAAGTCCTGCACAAGAAGACTTAAACAGAGATGCCACATGAATAGTCTTGTGTGAGAACCAGGGTAACCTCGAACTCTTATAAGTATTATAATTCCCCAATATTGAGAAGATGAAGGTTTTTTAAAATACTGTATTATATGTATACTTCTTTACATTAAGGTAAAAAAAAATTATTCATTGGTTCTATCCTGTGCATCAGCTGTTCAAAAGCAATTGAAGTAGATTATGGGAGCCCCCTCAAGAAGGTGTGAGAGGTAATAGAGGGTGAGGTCCATACCTTCCATTTTGCCTTAGTCATTAAAAGTCATTTCCTGTCAACTGGTATCATATGATAACTATTTTTTTCATTGCAGTTAATGCTGAAATATAAGGATAAGAAATGGTACCAGTTCTAAACTTCTAAAGAAGATTTGACTGCTTTGAGAAACCATTATTCAGGGAAACCAAATTTATTCCCAGCATCATTATTCAACTGCTAGAAGCCAGTTTCTTCTACACAATGTTCCATTATGGTCCATCTGAAGTTATCATCAAGGAGACTTATCAGAGACACTGTACAACCCAAAGGCTGGAACCCTGGTTAAAAATCCCAAGATATGGCTGAATATGCCCTTTCCCATGTGGAATGGAGCTATCATCTTGGCATGTCATTTGCTAAGGATTTACATTTAGGGACTATGGGGAGTCCTTTTGATTTGAAAATTCCTGTACAAACAAAAGCATTAATGCACTTAATGAAAAAAATCTTTGCATGATAAATTAACATCTTAAGAGGAAAAGAAAACAAAAAGCATGTGACAGAAGAAAAAGATTTATGGTAAACTATTTTTATAAATTGGGCCACACCTGACAATTTAAAAAATCTGCATTAGAAGATATCAGTGCATTTCCAGTATATTTGCCATATCCAACTGAAAGAGAAAACAAAACACAACAAAACAAAAACCCAGCGTTTTCTTTTCATCTGTAACTGTCATTATACTAGGACATTCTGAATTCTTAAGGCAACAGTCTGATTAATGTTCTTCTTTCTCCATAATATTTTACATCATTCATGGTTCTCAGTCACAAACAAGTATTGCCCATATAGTAAATTATTCTCAGCACAATTATTTCCATTTCTGTCACCTTCAGAATAGGTTGCTACTTTTAGTCACAAACCATGCAGGGTTGGGTCACCTCAAAGCATTTTTTCAGCCTGGCTTGTACATTATGTGTGACAATATGTGTGGGGAAACTCAACTATAGGAACAATGCAGTTAGCTTTGAGAACTGATTTCACAAAAGGTGAAATTTCACACATCCCAATTTCAGTTTCTAAAGTGATATATTTTTAAAATTCCATTTGTACCGTTGTCTGCCAATTACACAGTATATTACTGTTCAACCCAGTGGGGTCTACAATCCAAAGGTGCTCTTGCAGCCTGACATTCACAGACCAAACTGGTCATTCACTTAGTATGATTCAGTAAAACCTCAGTTAATGTTTTGGGAAAGGGATTTTGATTTCTTACATTTCTGATTAATAAGGGCTTTCATTAGAAAAAAAGCTTTTTGGTTCAATACTTATTGTTGGAACTCTTTATAAAATGTAGTGGTGTTTTTGCTATTTTGGCCTCAGTCATCATTATGGACAACAGAAATACAGAGAGTTTAATGATACAAAATCAATTTTTCACTAATTAGGTCAAATAATATTAGCCACAGGATTATGCCAACAGGATTCCTTACTAAAACTTTTAAAATGGAATAAAGAGTATCTTTAACATGATAAAAAGTATCTACCATAGCTCAACAGAGAAGAACTAATGGCAAGACAAAATAAAAATACTACTATCACTATTTAACATGATCCTGGAAGTCAAAAACCATAGGAATGTGCATATGCAGATTTCAAGACCCATCCTGTAATGTTAATTCTTCAAAAATAATTTATTTTTTAAATTATGGGTTTGGCTTAATAAATTTTAATTCATCAAGTCTTATTGGATTTACATTTGTGTTTAAGAATTCACCATTTTCCTGGAGTCCAGGTCATGTTAGTAGCCAAAAACAGTATTTATGTTTGAGTTTTTAAATTATTTGTTTGAAGCAGAGCTTCCTTTACAATGGTCTCAGTAATTCAGAGCAGAGAAAAGATGACTGGCAAGGTCAGAAAATGCTAGGATAGCATTTTTCTTGAGACTCCGAATTCTCCTGATTTCTATAGAAAGACTCTCCATTAGTCTCCCAGGTGCCCATAAACAGAACCTGACTTGGAAGTACATACAGGACACATGAAATTATGCACTAAAGATATTAAAGAAACTTGAGACCAGGAGCTAGAAAAAAAATTGGCAGCTGAATTGCAATGCACTAGTTGTACCATCAGTTCCAAATAGTTTTCTGAACAAATAGTTTATCATTTCTATATCTACAAGAAGAAGAAGAAAAGAAAGGGAAAAAGAAAAGAGAAAAGAAAAGGAAAGGAAAGAAAAAAGAAAAGGAGATAATTAGTTTTAGGAATGAGATTCAGTCCAAAGTAACAGTAAAGTCAATGAATATCTAGTATCTCTGAAGCCCCTGTAAAATATGATTTAACTTGTTCATCAGGGTTCTCAACGGCCAGTCTACAAAAAGAAAATTATTTGTTGTGGAGGACTGTCCTGTGTATTGTAGGGTGTTAGAGACATCCCTGACCCTGTCTACCAAATTGCAGGAGGAATCCCCCAGTGATGACAATCAGAAATGCCATCGACCATTGCCAAAATACTCACAGCTGAGAATCACTATTCTATATAATTTAAAGAGACTAGTGTGAATATGTAATATATGTCTTAGATACATCATAAGTGCACAGTGTCTTAGTAAGATGCATTATTATACCCCAAATTACATGTGTGGTTCATATGCAATAAAATACAATTTTGGAGAAAGCTTATAGGAATCAGTGAAAAATAACAATCTCAGAATACTTTAAAGCACACATAGAAAAATATCAAAAAGAACATTATAGCATTTCATAGAAGTGATTAAAACTCTGGCTTCAAAGAATAGATCAAAAGTTCATAATTAGCACATCAATTGGAAGTAAACAAGTGTTTTGGAAATGCTTGAAAAGAATAGGTTCTTTTAAGTTACTTAAATATGTCTTTGAAAATTGTTTTATAGGCCTTTTCTCTAAGGGTAACTTTATCCCACAAACTCCTGATTAGTGGAATCCAAATTAATGAGGTTTTACTGTATCAAAAATTATTTTTATAATTCAAGGAGCTAGCAATAACAAGAATCTAATGTGGATGTGATTTTCTCTTTGAACATTTCTGTTCTGTTGCACTGACCTTAGCATTCACACAGACACAGACAGACACACACACACCACCCATCACCACCACCACCACCACCACCCCATAATCATCATCATCGTCTTCAGAAAATTAGTACTGTTGATCCATACAGCTCTTTGCATTTTCTCATCTTACTACCTTCCCTCTATCTTGGAACATAGGAAAAATACTAGTAACTTGGACAACTATAGAGAAAATGAATTATCTACTAAGGTGGCATCAGAAGAAAAGATTTGCAAACTAGTCCTAACATGTTGACCTTATCTCCCTGTCTCATTCAAGAGAGAAGCCCTTTATAGTATTCCAGCAGAAAATGGCCCTTTCTACTCTTCATCAAATAAGAAGCTAAAAAGTATGTTTCCCTGGTTCTAATAATAAAATGAGCAATAATCCCTTCCGTGAAATCTTCCTTTAGTCTTGTTTAGAGTAGATTTTCATTTAATTCCCTACAAAAGCAGTACTACTATGTTCTCTACACTTTGTTGAGCCCCAGACTTAGAAACCAGTCACCATCAGGTCATTATCGAACTGCAATTTTGGAAGAACAGTGACAAAACTGAGGGAGACATTTTCCAGTAACTTCCAGTAGTAAAGACAATTTTCCTAACATTTTAGAAATGATTCTCAAGTTAATAATAATCCAGATCTCTCTCTCTCTCTCTCTCAAAATTTTTAAGGGATCTTAAAGGAAAAAGTTTACTGTTGGAGTCCCTTTTTTATCTAGTTTTAAAGGTACCATCTATTCATTATTTACATTAAGGCATTATCATAGCTTTGAGAGAAAAAAAATGGATAAGATTAGGCCTAAGTTTAGTTAAAGACGACTAAGATATATGCCTATAGAATGTTCAAACAGAATGGAAAAATGAAGACTAAAAAACATAAACTAAAAAATCCTTTCCTTGGCGTAGGATCATTGGGACAACCCAGGAGTATATCTGTGATTACGGCCTGCCCTTGTAGGAAAAAAATAATGTTGTAACTCAACCACACTGGTGGCCTGGTACCCTCAGAGAGGGCAGTGCCAAAAGTCAGGGTATTCATGTCAGGTCTTGCTCTTCAGTCAGGGAAATGCGGTAGCTTTGACAACTTCTTCACCTCTGTCCTCCGCAGACCAGCTCCAGATTGGGCTGGGTGCTAGTTCACATGCATACTGTCCCTGGGGCCTGGAAGACTTGTTAGGACTTGGTAAGCTTTATTTCTACTTTCTACCCTGCACCATTCCAGGGAGCGGTTGTCAGAAAACCAAGTTTAGTGTTTGTATTTGCATACAGTGTAGACCCAAATGAATGAAATGCAGAGTAGATAAGGCATGCCTTGGAAAAAGACTAGGAAGTGCCAATTTGGTGCAAGAGGGCTGGGGAAAGGAGGGACATGGGAGCCAGAGTGAAGTGAAGAGGTTTTGATGAGGAAGCAGAAGCACAGATGCCTTTTTTACATTCACATCTAGAGAAGCCATTCTCAACTTTGACTATGCATAAAAATCACCTGAGGGATTTAAAAAATTCGTAATTATTTTGGAATCCCTCAGAGTGGGAGCCAGACATCCATAGTTTTGAAAGCCCCCAAGGTGGTTCTGATGTGCAGCCAAAGTTGATAAGTACCCATTGGTTTATGGTCAACTAAGGAAGCCATTTGTCTGCCTTGGCTGGTATCCCAGCCCCACTTCTGAGGGGTCAGCAAGGCTAAGACGCAGAGTTGAATTGGTATTTATTTAATGTATCTTACAAAACAAAAATATGCAAATTTATGAGTAGGTAGTGTCCTATGAACTCTTAATAACTCTGCCTTTGTGATCTTCTATTTGACCTGCTTATTAATTATTATAATTCAGACTTCTAGGTTTTTGGTACTTAGCCATGTGACATCAAAAGTTACAAAAATATCATAGTAAATTCAATAGCACATAAAGCTAAGTGGAAAATTAAATCTCAATATTTGAACAATGAAAATTCTCAAAAATAATCATTTACTACCAGGTCCAAAATGAATATTCATTCTTCTTTTGGAGGAGACATGGGTACCAGGTACCTGTTCTGCTCTAGGTTCAATTTATTGAACTTGATCTCAGCAAAAAGGGAGAACAACTCTTCTTTTTTTATTTTTGTCTCAATCAAAATCTTCCAGGGCCACTTGGATTTATTTTCTTCATTATTGGACAGATGTATTAAAGGGGGGAAATGCCTCTGATATATGTCTTACCTCCAGCACCCTGAAAGAGTACTTGTACCTTCAAAAAGGGAGTCCGGCCTACAAAGGCAGGATGGCGCAGAGGGAAATCAGTCATCTCCTCTTACACTGCTTCCCCTCTGGTTTCGGCCCACCCTCCTCAACTGTTAAGCCAGAAAATAAACTAGGTGGTGGTTTTGGATAATTGTACACAGGATAAAAATCTCTAATAACCTATAATTTTTAGTACTTAATTATGTGATGTTTTATTCTAGGAAATAAGAAACAGATGACATCATTGATGTATCTTTCTTTCATCTTCAGAATTTTTGCATCTTTTCAGAAAATGACAAATTACTATTTTTCTGTTGCACTCAGCAATTGTGACTATACTTAACAAAATTCTTGTAGTCTGTAGAGATATTAATAAAATTGTATATGTTTGTACATAGATGCTCTCTTATGTCATGATGTCACACACACTAAGGATTTTTTCCAAAATTAAGCATGGACAGAGGTGAGACCTTCATTTGCAACACTGAACTATGGTTTTACGAAGTGTAATTGTTTTTAAAAGATAGGGAGTGGGTGGGAAAGCAATGCATAACCTATTCATTTGAACTGAAAAGAAGAAAAAACTGGACACAAGTTCCCCCAAATCACAGATTTTGCTAGAATGGATTAATCCAAAAGGCTAGACATCTTTCAAAATTTCCATCGAACTGAGGAAAGGTGTAACTTTTATATTGGAAGACTTTCAAGACTTTTGAGGAGACTGACTAAATTCTACCCACAGAGAAGCACAAGCAGAAATAAATTTGGTAATAGTGCTGCATAGGAAGTCAGGGTGGGATAAGATGAAGCTACAAATTTCTTTGCAGTTCAGTTCAAGCAGGCAGAAAAACTGGTATGGGCTTGTCCTACCACCTTGTGGTCGTGGTGGGCATCTGTTAGCCAGCATCACCACAGGCCGTGGTGTGCTCTCCTGCAGAGTTAGTCCTTTGCAGACACTTTCCTTACATTTATCTACACCATGGCCTTAGTCAACTTCCAAATCCTAAGTATCCCAGGAAAATTCTACCACTACTATATTTTACTTCCTGGTTTTGGTTTCATTTAAACATTTAACCAACCAACCAACCCCATGCTAAAAAATGTTTTTAGATTAAAAGTACAAATATAAAGACAGATTTTTAAAAATGTAAATGTCTAGTATTCCCCTTCAGAATTTTCTCGGAAGTGTTCACTTACCTCCTTACCTCATGAATTACAGTCACTTGGGCTTCACATCCCTGAGTTCAATATTTAAAATACTGATCATCACCCCTCCTTCCCTCTTAGTCTTTCTTCCTTCCCTTCTCTCCCTAACTCATACTTCACCCTCCTCTCCCTGCTTCCCTTCTGCTTCCTTTCTTTCCTTTCATTCACTCAGTCCAAAAGTCAGCCAAGCCTGAGCAGGTTGGTGGTGGCAGCCCCACACAAGGGGCACACAGGAGACGTGGGAGGGGCAGTGCGCAGATGGTGGTGGGTGGTGGTGCGTGTGGTCAGTACCAGAGAAGACAGGAGGCAGCCAGTAGGGCTTGGAGGTTGACTGCCCCAGGAGGATTGGGCAAGTGAGAAAATACACTGAGGACATAGGAGCCAGATTGCTAACTGATGGAGAATGGGGAAGGGAGGTATATAATTACCAGGGAAAACTAGAATATGCCCTGTGCACAGAATTAGAATCAGGGTTGGCAGGTGGTGTGGTGGTTAAGGTAATGCACTCTCACATGGCTGACTGCAGTTCAAGTCCCAGACCTGCTGGCTTGCTTTCTCACTTTCCCTTTCTCTGTCTCTCTCTCTGGTCAAATTAAAAATAATAAAATTAAATTAATGATTCTTTTAAAAAAAAATCAGTGTCGATCAGGGTGGAGCAAGAGCGAGAAAGATACGTAGACACAGGTATAGATATAATTACATAGCGTATCGCACATACATGTGATAGAATGGTGTGTACATGTGCTGCATGTATGTTTCCTAATTCTGAACATGGAGAGAACTGGAACAACCCTCAAGTCAATGAGTACGACTGATGTCTAGTCAAATACTAGTCTTTGCTTAAAAGAAACAGCTGATTTCAAGGCTAGAACATATTTTTCTGCCAAAAAGTAAAGTATAAACTAATGGGAACATGTTGACAGGACCCAGACTCTAGCTCGAAAGGACCTACACAGGCCAAGTCAGGGCTAATTTGCACATAGAAAGTAATGATAGGAACTGAGTAAGATAGGAACCTCCAAGTCCACAGAGATAAAAATAAATAGGGAGAAAAGAAAGCTCTTCCTTAAAATAGCTTGTCAGCGAATAAATGTAGATGGAATTTTTAAATTACCATTTGATAACCATTGTTGTAATGTGAGCAATAAATACCTATGGATGCTAAAACTAGTGGGGTAAAGTTGGCTGGAGGAATAGGACATTGATATGGCCTCAAACTATCATTGCAAAAAAAAAAAAAACCACACTTATTTCTTACAAAGAAAACATATTGTAATTTTACTCTATCGAAACTTGGCAAACTATCCTAATCAAGTGATCAACGTGATCAACACCAGTAATGGGATGATCAACAACACGTGGTCCGACAGGATATAGTGAGAACTCAGCATCGCCTCTATGACATTTGGCCAAAAATGCAGTCTGGGTCTAATGATGAGGGAATACCGGAAAAACCAAATGACGTTAGTTTTTGTTTTCACATTCTATAAAATGACTACCCTTTACTCAAAATTTTCAGTGTCATGAAAGTCGAGAAAAGCTAAATGTTCCAGATTCGGGAAACTAGACAGATACAGCTGGTTGCAACATGTGGTCTCGGCTTGGATCCTTTTGCTATAAATGATGTAATTGGAGCAATGAACAAAACTTGAGTGTGATTTCCCACTTGATTGGGATTCTTTGTACTATTCTTGAAACTTTAATTTAGGTTAGAAATTATTTCAAAATAAAATTATAAAAACGAAAACTATTTTCAATTTTGTTGAATTATTTGCACTTCAATGACATTGATTTCTACCTTTCATAGCAAATGGACAGCCACTTTATGGCTTGAAGAATGGTTTTGAGTTGGTTTGGGAATCACTTAAACATTTTCATTTTAAAAACGTGTCTTAATTACACAAATAACACATGACTGCATATTTGAAACAGCCAGATAATAGACGAGTTAAGTGAGCATTTCCATTGGTCACCTCCTACCATTAATCAATTGTAAGTTTGCTGTGGTTTTTCTCCAAACACTGTGCTAAGCCACAACTAGCTTATCTGCATACCTACTGTTTCAGGTATCCATGTTGGTACTTAGAATTTATTTTTATTAATTCACTTATATTATTCCATGATATCAATGAGCCATAATTTGTTACCATCCCTCTTCTAGTAAATATTTAGATATTTTCCAGGCTCGTGATATTAAAACAAAACTTGCACACACGTTTTGGTTATTTTCAGGTGTTTTGGGAAGACAACAAATGGAATTGCTGAATCAAATGGCATATGCTCTCAAATATTTGAATACATGCCAACAATTAAACTGATTATTCTTCCTCCAGTATAAAAGAATGACCATTTTCAGGACCAACAGATGGTGTAATGGTTACATTGCTGGACTCTCATGTAGTCTACTACAGTTCAAGTCCCAGACTTGGTGACTTAAAACTCACTCCGGGCGCGTGGGCGTGCGTGCCCAAGATCCTGAGAGGAGAACGGAGGAGAAGGGATTGTGGCATGGCCATCCCCCCTGGGGGATGATTTCTCACTTTCTTTCTGTCTCTGTCTGTTTGGTGAGTACACGTGCCCTATAGTGAAAACCTCTCCAAAAAAAAAAAAAAGTTCCCAAAATAATGAAGGAGAGGGGATTACAGCATGGTCATCCCCCCCACCGGGGGGTGATTTCTCACTTTCTGTCCCTCTGTCTCTGTGTTTCCAGCGAGCACATGTGTCCTATACCAAAAAACAAACACAAAAACAAAAAAAACTCTAAAAAAACAGGAATTATCATTTTCTTTGTCTTTGCCTAATACTAATTTTTTTCTACAGTATGAAAGATGAAAATGGCATCTAATTGCTTTAGTTGGAATTTTTCTGATTCCTAGTGGAACTGAACAACTTTTAATGTTTAATTAGACATTAAAGAAACTTATTTCCTCTTCCATGACTCATCTGTTCATCAGTTTTGACATTTTTTTCTGAACAGCTGTGGTGTGGCCACCCTGTAGAGCAGGTTCACCCCCTTCACTTTCATCCAAAATTAACTTTTGACTGTTGAGACTGATGACACCACCTACACCCCAAGAGGATAGGGAAGGGTTTATTATTCACATAATGAGACTTTCTGGAGACAGCAGGCAGCTTGAAAGAACAAGGGACAGAGACTGGCTTGGGGTTTTTATTGTGGTTAGGGAGTGGGTCAAACTTTGCAGGAAGGAGCTTGCACAGCTTGAAACTCCTGCTGGCATCAGAGAAAGGAGAACCCAGGCTTTCTCCTCAGCTCACCCAGATGTGGGGCCCAAGGGTAAGTGGGAAGCACGAGGCTTCAAAAGATAAAGTCAGCGTCTTTACAATAGGTCATCTGTCTGTTGTTGATTTTTTAAATAACTCTAGAAATTACAGTAGCTTACTTATTTTATATAACTAATTTTGTCTTGCTTTTGTGTCTAACGGTTGTACAAATATTTTCCTCCTTTGCAAAATTGGCTGTTAGGCTTAAAGATGGCCTAGCTGACCTCACGGCAAGGGAAGTGGGGTGCTGGTCCTGTCCTCCCTCTGGGTCTTCTGACTACTCTGTGGTAGGGGCTGGTCTGCTCTGACAAGCACGGTCATGGCTTGTTCTCACTTCAGGAAGGCACTGTGGTCCTCTCTTGTAAACTCAGCCTCATCTAAGCTAGGGGTCCCTTTTGGATTCTCTATCAGGCCCTGGCCCCAGGTTAGGCGCCTCTATGTTTTCCATGATTTAACATCCTGGATAATGTCACTTTTTCACACTGAGGAGTTTTCCTTTTAGTGTAGTCAAGTTTTATCATCTTCTACCCTCATGATTTTTTAACTATATTTTAAAGGTGGCTTTTATGTCTATAAAAATCAAACCATATCCTTATGTCTTTACATTCAAAGTTTTTTAAAACATTATTTAGGTTTTTAATCCATCTGTGGTTGGAAGGTGGTTTGTGAACATTTGAAATAGGGATCTAACTTGATTTTTGCTGATAATATATTACTACACCTCTATCTTTTTTTTGGGGGGGGGGTGAGTGGGAGAGGTTTTCGCTATAGGGCACGTGTGCTTGCCAGAAAGACAGGCAGAGAGACAGAAAGCGAGAAATCACCCCCCAGGGGGGATGGCTACGCTGCAATCCCTTCTCCTCCATTCTCCTCTTGGGATCTTGTGTGCACATGCACACGTACCCGGCGTGAGTTTAAGTCTCCGGATCTGGAACTCGAATCAAGGTTGACTACATGGGAGTCCAGCAACACCGCCATTACACTAACTGCTGGTCCCACTACACCTCTATCTTTTAACAATCATCTTTCCATCACTACTTTGAAATAATATTTTAATCACTTCCTACATAAGTATAAATTTATTTTCCAAATTCTCTAGTCTATTCCAGTAATCCTTCTATGTCTGTGCTATATTAAACTGCTATATTACTTTATCTTTATAAAATGTCCGAATATAAAATAGAAAATGTTTGTTCTTTTTGCAGTGTGATAGTTATTAGTATTTTTCTTTTCATGAGGCTAGCTTTAGGGTATCATCTAAAAATCAAAACAAAAACCAGAAATCCTTTCGAGACATTGATTGGATTGCAGTATCTCATAGATTAATAAATAATGATGTTTTTGCTGACATTACTGCATCTGGGACATCTTTCTCCTCTGGCCACCACTTTCCCACTTTGTTGTCTTATTTCAGGAAGGCACTGTGGTCCTCACTTGCAAACAGCCTCACTGAATGCTGGGGCTGGACAGCTGGTGACCCAAATAGCAGTGGTGTCAGCATTGCCACAGGCAGCCCGTTCTGCTGTCATTCCGCTTTGTCCAATTTGAATTTCACTTTCAGTTGTCATTTTTCATTTCTCTGGTGCACTTTCATCTTCATTAGCCAATTTGAACAGTTGATTACCCATTGTTGTAAAATGTCACATGGATTTATCTCTGAGAGACAAGGAGTTGACACAGCTACATGGTTTGCTCTCTGTGCATGGGGTGACTAACAACAACCAGTCATAAGAAGACTTTAATCATGATTCATGTTTTAGTTCTCTATTACTGCTATAACATTACCACAAACTTACTGCTCAAGACACCACAAACTGCTGTGTTAGACAATTCTGATAGTCAGACATCCAAAATGGTCTTAACTGGGCTATAAACCAAGCTGTTGGCAGAGCTATGTCTTCTCCGGAAGTGCTGGAGGAGAATCCATTTCCTTGCTTTTCCCAGCACTTAGGGGCCTCCTGCATTGGTTGGCTGGGGCCCTTTGTCCCATCAGCCAAGGCCCCTTTGCCATGCGATAGAATAGATCACAGATTTCAGGGATTAGGGTGGGGACAGCCTGGAAGGAGGGAGTATTATTTTGCCTAACAAAATGTACATTTTTTTAGAGGTTTTTGCTATAGGGTGTGTGCGCTCACCAGAAACAGAGAGAGACAGGGAGACAGAAAGTGAGAAATCACCCCACCAGGGGGGATGTCCACGCCACAATCCCTTCTCCTCCATTCTCCTCTCGGGTTCTTGGGTGCGCACATACACGTGCCCCAGGCGTGAGTTTAAGCCACCGGGTCTGAGACTCGAACCACGGTCAACTATGTGGGAGTTCAGCGACATAGCCATTAGGCTAACTGCTGGTCCCACAAAATGTACATCATTTACATGGCAATTTGTGGACTGAAGAGCTACCAGCGAAATTTTGAACTTTATGCAATTACTCATAGTTAATATGCTCTGATAACTAAAATTTGAACTGTGTTATAGGAAGAATAATGCGATTTAAGTAAACCATTTGTCTTAGTCCATATTCTGTTGCTATAAGAAAACACTTGAAACAGTAATTTATAAAGAAAAGAGACTTATTTTGACTCACAGTTCTGGAAGCTGGCAAGTTCACGACAGGGTGACCACCTCTAGTCAGCTTCATGCTAAGTCAAAACATGGCAGAGAAGCAAGGGGAGCCAGATGCATGAGGAAGGGGACAACCCCAGAGGCAGCCTTGCTTTAAAATTGCTCTAATGAGGGAACCAGCAGTTAGCATAATGGCTATGTCGCTGGACTCTCACGTAGTCGACCGCGGTTCGCGTCCTGGACCCGGTGGCTTAAAACTCACGCTGGGCACGTGTGTATGCGTGCCCAAGATCCTGAGAGGAGAATGGAGGGGAAGGGATTGCGGCATGACCATCCCCCCTGGGGGGTGATTTCTCACTTTCTGTCTCTATGTCTCTCTCTGTCTGGCGAGTGCACGCGCCCTATAGCAAAAACCTCTCAAAAAAAATTTTATAAAAAAAAAATTGCTCTAATGAGAGCTAATCCATCTCCTGGAGACCTGATACACACACACACACACACACACACACACACACACACACACAATTATATATTTTTTTAATTTGCTATAGGACATGTGTGCACCCTCTTAAAGACCTAAGCACCTTTTAAAGGCCCTACCTCACAAGGCTGTTGCACTGACACTGAAATTTCAACAGGTGTTTCAGAGGGAATTATCCATGTTCAAACCATAGGACCAATAGTGACGTGGCACTGCTGGATGATCAGACCCAGCATCCATGCTGGTTCTTCTCCTACACTCATGAAGAATTAGAGATATGGACATGAAGAGGAGAGTAAAGCAGAGTTTATTAAGGAGGAAAAGCTTCCAGTGCAATAGAAGGGGCCTGAATGGGTTGCCAAAGAGGGGGTGGGGGTAAGGGTTTTTTATTTAGCAGCCTGAGCAGTGGGCTAGCTTTATGATAAGGAAGTGGACTTTAGAAAATAGTTATATGGTAGTCTAAGTTATTTATCACCCTATTCTTTGTGGGGTCAGCAAACCACAGCATTCTGTGCTTCTTGTTAGAATTCAGCTACTAAATAGGAATTACTGCCCTTAGATACAGTTCCTTTGAGTCTCAATGCAACCAGCTTTGAGAACTTAGCTCCTGTGACCGCACCCCCATCTTGGGTCTTTACCTTGTCCGTGTGCTCAATAATCCTTTCTCCTGCCTTATTAGCAAGGAGTCATAAATTCCATAGGCACATGTAAGAGGACTGTATGTTGCACATTAATCAGACCATAGACAAAAAACACAAGAGATTTCTTTAAAAAGAAAAACACAGATTTCCTTTTGAGGCTCATACTCTATCTACCCCTAAGCAGGTCTAACTCCTGTCTCAGTAGAAATCAATTCATGCACATCTGGATCATGCAAAACAACAGTTGTTTTCAATCCAACTATGAGGTCACAAAGGATGAAAAACTGTCAGTCATTTCACGTACAGGGCCCTGGCTACAGAAAATGAGTCAGAAGTGACTCCTATGTGCTCTCATATTTACAGAACCCTCTCAGGTCAATAGACCGAGATTTCTCTTGTGCTGAATCTTGGGACCACCAGAATACTGACAGTACCACAGCTTTCGTCTTTGATAAACATGGTACAAATGAATATGGAAAAAACTCAAGAAATAATAATATACCTTCCCTCCTACCTCTCCAACTCTGCTCCATCAACACTGAATCACTTGTGCACTAATACCCAAGTACTAATAGTGCATTATACTTTGTTTATAAAGCAACTGTCTTTTTATTCTGGTTAATAAACATAAAAGAGTTCTTCTGTTAATTAAGAATGTAATTAACATTTCCTATATGTTCAGACATCATTGAACAAGCTATATAATATGTAAATAAGAAATAGATTGTCAGAAAAGTCATGACACATTTTTTCTATCCAAAAATGTGTCATGACTTTTCAAAAAAACCAGTAGCTTTCTGATACTTTTAGACCAAATGCAATTTAAAAAAACAAAAAACTGGACCCAAGCACACCATAGGGACACAGGCAGTAGGGCACCACTGTACAATATTCAAACCATATGGGAAGGGCCACTGTTCAGACTCTGGGATGACCTGAGCACGCTGGGTATGTCCATGGTCTGGCTTGCTGGAAGGCTGGTAGGTAGATAGAATGGTGAGACTCTGTTAGTGGTCCTGGTGTCTGTCTCTTTCATTAAAGAAAAAAGAAACAACAAAAAAACTGACCTATAAAAAACTACAAAAAATCTAATAACGAGGTTTCTCTTAAATTCATTTTACTTCAGCAGATAAATGATTGTTTCTACAACTCCAACTGGGATTACAAAGTGCAATCTTTTCAGGATGTACATTTTCATCAAGTCACAAACACAGAGGCACTGAGGGACTGTGAGACTTCTCTAGCAGTATTGCCTTTTATTGATTTATTTATTTACTTTTTTAAGATTTTTGCCACGGGGCACATACACTCCCTGGAGAGAGACAAAGAGAGAGGGAAATCAGCTTTCTGGGGGGAGGGCCACCCCTCAGTCCCGTCTCCTCTCAGGATTTTGGGCAAGCATGCACACACACCTATTGTGTTCTTCAGGCCGTGGGTCCCGGACTAAAACCAGGAGTTCAGCATATAGGATCCAGTGCCTTACCCATCTTGTCACTACCAGTATTACCTTTAATTACAATAAAACATCTGATCTCCTAGAACAGGATATCTCTTGAAGAGTTATAACTTCTTTTATAAGTTACCCAAATACATTCATTGTATGAACTGAAGAAAGAAAAGGAATAAAAACATTTCATGAAAATTCATTCCTAAACTCCATCCATACCAAGTCCTACCACTCTACAGGATTCATACATATTAGCCAATGCTATTTTAAATTACTATTTGGTATTTTTTTTTTATATCGGAAGGGAAATAATTCACACACAATGCCTACGCCTGGTGGTGTGGTGTATGTGAAATCCAGTCCTCCCTGCCTATGGCTCCGGAGTCTACATCGTGAGGTCTGAATCTCAGCAGGGCTGAAATGTCCTGAGCAGCAACTCCATTTTCTTCACGTTCAATCCAGACAGATGAGGCCTAAAGTGCTAAGTGCATGTTTCAAACATAGGTCTCCAACTTGTTCGACCACAGGAAGTTATAAAAGGCCAGTTCATAGAGACTCTTTAAGAGTAAAATCAATGAACGTCGTATTTCCCCTCGCACCCCTCTTCACACACACACACAAATGTTTGATGCTGCAGAGGAGAGTTCTTGATATGCATTTTGAAACTCTCACTGTGGAATTACCATCCTACATCCATCAGGACTTGAGAGTTTGTTTTCAGGCCCGCAGAGGCGTCCCTGGAGGATGCAGTCAGCTGCAGTTACACATCGAAGTCCCTCAGCTCTGCCCAGCTGGCTCCTATTTTCACTTTCACTTTCAGTTTCACAGAAAGTTTTATGGCATTTTCCATTTCATTCTTGACGATCTGAGCTACCTACAGGGAAAAAAACAGTAAGGTTAGCAAACTCTGCTGATCCGAGACTATTTTCCAACCACCCACAGAGAAGGTGATTAAACCAAACTAGCACTCTTCATCCAATGGTGCTTAAAACACTAAACCACAAAGAGCCCGGCATCACAAACTGCCCTTCACTGATGAGCAGGAGCGTCTAAGCTCCTTCGCCACCTGGCCTTAGCCAGAATGCTGGCAGCCTAGAAACCTCCGGGCAGAATTCCACATCCTATCTAACCTTCTCCTAGACAGAAACATCCCTGCATCAGGAATTTCTTTAAGAATGAGTACGAAACGTAACACTCTTAGTTTCTTCTCTCTGGTAAAGACATAACTTTCATACAGTCATCCAGGGGCTAGCATAGGGCTCAAAAGTCTCACATTTGGAAAAACAAGTGTCAGCTCGACCTACAGTGTTGCAGCTCCCTGTGGAATGGACACGAGCACTGCAAAAATACCTGGACAGCATCCTCTTCTGCCACCTCGTACAAGAGTTCATCATGGAGCTGAAGGATAAAGAAGCCTCCTCTGATTGGGCAAAACATCCCTTGCAGCTTCCTCTTTGGTAACAATCCTACACCATGAAAAAGTAACAAAACCAATCAGCTTGTAACTGTGCTGTTAGAAAATTCTTTTAGAGACCTTGAGAAATTGGAAATTTTAATAATGAGATTAAAACACATAAGACTGAGAGGGCCCCACATGAAAGGTGGGGCATTGCACAGAGGAAGCCAGATCCCGCAGGGCTGACAAGGTTCGGTCCTCAGACCAATCATCTTGAAAAACCATGCTGGGCACATACTCTCACATGAGTGGCCAGGACCCTGCTGGGAGGAGAGTTGGAAGAAAGAGGATTTGGGGCATAACCAGGCCCTACTAAGGGGTGCTTTCTCTCTCTTTCTTTCTCTCCCCCCTCTCTCTGTCTCTCTCATGCATGTACTCTCTGGCATAAAAACAAAAAGAACACATCAGGAAAATAACTTCTTGCTGGCTGCTACCTAGCCTACTCACCAGACTAACTCAAGTACATCACCTTCCCCTCAGAGAGAAGTCCATGAACGGAGTGTGACGTGCCCTACTTTAGAATAATGCATTTCTCATGGGCAAGCAGCACTTTCTCTTCCCATGGAGCCCCTACCACTGTGGCTTGGGGCCTGATTTCTGCTCCAGGGAGGTGGACCAACACTGGTAGGCAATGTGCTACAAGGGGGACTCTCGCTGCTGCTTTATAGCCAGAAGTGTCACAGTGACAGAACTGCTGCCTCCCACCATTGCACACACTCCTGACAAGGAGCTGTACCTCGGGCCCTGATGTGGACCTCAGAGACGGTGTGACTCCGTTGAAGTTATATGCAGGAGTCTACGCATTATGCTATTCTGTGGAGGTGATCCATACCTTTCTGTAGATGCTCAAAAGAACCCGTGACTCCAAAATGGTGAAGAACATGACTAGATTTAGTTAGCAGTAGCTAACTAGCAGGGCCCACTGGCAAGGTGATCCCCACTGGTTACCTGGATAGGCTAGACATGAACACCTCAAGGAAAGCTGCCTTCACTTGCTTGCCTGGGCCCATCAGCAGTCCGTCATCTTCCTGCCACGTCTCCTACTTATCCTCGGGCCCAGCACACGTCCCATCTCTCCCTCAGTGCCTGGTGCTTCCCTGAAAGAGTTCTTGAACTATTACTGTCTGAAGCCCACAGAGCTCCGAGGTGCCTCTCACGGGGTAAGAAAACAAAGACAGCTGGAACCAGGCTGTCTCGTTCTAGGGCTACACAGGCTGCACGCCTGTCCGCCAGCTTGGCCAAAGTCTGACCCCATCAGGCCCCACTACCTCACACATCACCGACCATCGCTGCTCCGGCTTTCCAGCCTTCTGTTCACGAGCCTCTTCCCTCTTGCCAGGATCCTCCCATCCCCATGCAGTCACCTCTCATGCCCAGCTCCGTGAGCTCACTGACCTACTCCCACTTCCAACCTGACACCACGAAGTCCTCGATGACATATCTCTAGTGCCTTTCACCCACGTTTGAAGTTGCTACTGTCTATCTCATTTAGACACTCAGAACTCTGTGTAAGGAGTTGTGTAAATATTTCAGTCAGGTATCATATCTTCCCTTCCCTTCCTTAGTAGATTTTAAATTTACACATAGGTTCACAACTTTTACTTCTAAATCCCCCGAAGCTCATAGCAGAGTGTTATTCCCCAAATAAGTCTGATGATATATTCTCTCTTTAAATGGTATTTAAAGCAGAAGTATGAACATGGGACAAAAGGGAAAAAGGAAAAGTTCTGTATACTCATTAGAACAAGAAATAACTTAACCAAACAATAAGGAGAGAATATAGGGAACAAATTTTGAAAATAAGAACAAGAGATGGCAATATTGGCAAAGGAACACACGTGATAAGAAAGTCAACTCGGTATATTCCCAGACTTCAAAAAACATTGAAGGTTGGGAACCAGCAGTTAGCATAATGGCTATGTCACTGGACTCCCACGTAGTCGACCACGGTTCGCGTCCTGGACCCGGTAGCTTAAAACTCACGCCAGGCGCGTGTTCATGGGTGGCCCAGATCCTGGGAGGAGAATGGAGGAGAAGGGATTGCAGAGTGACCACCCCTCCTGGGGGTGGGTGATTTCTCACTTTCTGTCTCTATGTCTCTCTCTCTGTCTGTCTGGCGAGCACACGCGCCCTATAGTATAGTGAAAATCAAAAAAAAAAAAAGAAGAAAAAAGAAAACATTGAAGGTCATAAAAGGGAAAATCAACATGCTCCTCTTTATTTTTTTTTTTTTAAGATTTTTGCCATAGGGTACATATTCTCGCTGAAAAGAGACAGAGACAGTGAGAAGGAAAGTGAGAAATCACCACCCAGGGGGACAGCCATGCCATAGTCCTTTCTCCTCCATTCTCCTGGGATTTGGAGCACACATACACACACATGCCTGGTGTGATTCTTAACCCACAAAGTCTAGGACTCACAGCGAGGTGGGCAATGTGAAGGTCAAGCATCTTAACCACCACACCACCTGCTGGCCCAAAACTAACATGTTTTTAACTTGTAGTCCAGGGACCACAGAGGATCCCTGAATCTGCAATGTCAAAATTACCTTCATAATAACATTATAAGATAATTTGCCTGTTCATCTCCTTCTCTTCTAAGTGTGCACCAAGGTGACCAACCATCCTGGATGTGGAACTGAAACTCCTATATACTGGGAAACCTATCCGTCTCCCACACATCAGGACATGCATCACCCTAGCCAGGACGAAGGTCTTCCAGAGGTGCAGGACATGTGACGTTGCAGCAGGAGTGCAGAAGCAGAGAAGGGGGTCCAGCTGTCCTCTCTCAACCAGACATTGAAGAGATTTACATAAATGTAAAATAAAAGCATCTACCAGGGCCATCAGATAGTGTAATAGCTACGTCACTGGACTCCCATGCAGTCGACTGCAGTTTGAATCCCGGACCCAGTGGTTTAAATTCATGCTGGACGCATGTGCGTACGTGCCCAAGATCCCAAGAGGACACTGGAGAAGGGATTGCGGTGTGGCCATCCCCCCTGGGGGGTTATTTCTCGCTTTCTGTCTGTCTTTCTGGCAAGTGCACACACCCTATCAGCAAAAACCTCTCCAAAAAAGGGGGGGGAGCATCTACCACTAATTTAATTTTGCTCTAAAAAGATATCTTTAAAAATATGTTACTTATGTCAAAATATGGTAGGTGTATTACTACTTTTAAAATTTGGTAAATTTTAAATTCCTTGTTTTAATCTCTAACATGGTAAATACAGTAGATAAAATCCATGTAAAAACAAAAGCCCTTTGGGATCCTTAATAGTTTCTAAGACACTGTAAGGCCAAAACATTTGAGAACTGCTAGGAAACAAATATATACTACTCCCCTCTTCCTTTCTCACACAGTCGTGTGCACCGTGCTGTAGGAGGGGCCTCGCCCACAAACAAACCTGTCTTGTCTCTGCGGAGCATGCTCTCCCGATGGCCATGGGATTTGAAGGTTGAACGCAAGGTCTCTAATTGCTTCTGAATGTTAACTGTAGCTACTTTGACGATATCAGCCGCCGATCCTTGGACTGTCGTGTTGATAGCCTGACGCTCGGCCTAGAGAAAACAGTGACAGGTACTCTATCAGGTTCGCCATCACGGCTTCATACTTGCCTTCCGTGTCCATGGATCAGTGCTCACATTTGCAGCCAGAATGGAATATGACCTGAGATGCTACCCAGGACATCAACGGTTAGGCTGCATCTTGCAAATAAAAACTGTAATGCCCAGGCTCTAAATTTTAGACTAGCCACATGACAAAAAACTAAACTACAAGGAGCTCAGATTGCTTGTTCAGAAATCTGCATCACTCAGGACCCCAAAACTATATTGCACTTAGTATGCGTTTAGTAATTCTAAATAATTTTATTTCATAAAGACATATCATTAATGTTCTAGCTGTTCTCAACTTCACTCTAAAGGCTCTATTCCTCAAACTATTCTTAATTGTAAATAGAGTGTAATATTCTTTGTGATGTGGGCTGGGATCTCCTAAGCACATCCCTCACACCAGTAGCCTCTCTGGCCTGTGCAAGGTCTAGCCTCAGCAGGTCTGGAAAGTTATTATATGAGTCCGAGCTTCTCGTGGGCTGCTGAGGCTACTCTTTAGCTGCTACTGAAGATGCAAATCTTGGATCCCTGCATATTAAGTTAGAACTTCCCGGAAGCTTCTGCTATCATAAGCTTCATAACAGGCAACAATTTCTACCAAAAACAAAATAAAACAAAACCATCCTGGGACAATAGGGAAAAGAGTATGGGTTAATATCCAGGTGTAACTTACCCACGAATATCACTCCTGGTTGCCCAAAATGTCTTAGAAGACAGGTTTAATCAAGGGAGGGGCCAATGTAACTTGAGGAGGATTCATGAGTTCTCTGTCTCTGGGCTGAGAACCCCAATTTCTAGTACATTAAATATATACTAAAAATATTTTTTAAAGTAACTACTGGTTTGTCAAATGCTGATAAATGTATCATAAACGTAGCTGTTACTATTTAAATAGTGACTGAATTTCAGATATACAGACAACTCCTCCTTCGGTTGTAAAACTAATCTATTGCAATGATAACTATGTACATAGTTTACTTAAAATCATCTGTGTAAATTATTGAAATTAGTAAATAATATTTGTAAGGTTTCTAGACAAAAAGACAATAGAAACAAGTTTCCCATGTAATAGTAACATATGGTTAGAAAATGTAAATAAGAAAAGAAAAATTTTAAAATAAATATATAATGGCATCAAATTTTTCGATTACATAACTACTAATCTAAAACAAAAAGCAGAAGATTGTTCCCCCAAAACTAAACAGGATTATGGAGAGAACTTGAGAAGACCTGAAGACCTAAGTAAATGAACAAATACATCAGGTTCAAGGATTAGAAAGCTCAAATCTGCAAAGATGTGCCTTAATCCCATCTTGACCTATAAACTCATGGCGATCTCAATTTAAAAAACCTCAACAGAATTTTGTGTAGAAAGTGACAAGCTGAATCTGAAATTTATATGAAAGTGTAAAGAACAAAAAAAGGCAATTATTAATTAAAAAAAGAAATAGGACAATTTAATTTTACTATATATTAAGACCTTTTACAAAGATGCATAATGAAAACATAATTAGTGGTACCATCACAGATCTAAATTGGAATGAAAAAAGGCCAGACCTAAGAGCATACATGGTATTACTGCATTTAAATAAAATCCAAATCCATGTGGCACTAACCCACAGTTCTAAGCAAATCTCCATAGTTCTGATCTGAAGGGAGCATTGAGAAGCCCTCGGTGATGCTGGAAAAGTTCTGTATCCTGGTCTTGCTGGTGGTTACATGGGCATTTATCTATGTGAAATTTTAAGTTTGCACCCTATACCCTTTAATGCACATACGTTGTCGATAAAAATTTCAAAAATACACACAGAGTTAACAATCTCTTCTTATCTAAAATTACTCATATGAGTCAGAAAAGGCAAGACAAATGCGAGAGAGAATATTTTCTACACATTCAACCAGTAACAGGCTTCTATAAATTAAAAAGGAAAAGGGAGAAGGCACAATAGAAAATGAACAAAAAATTAAAACAGGCATTCCTCTCCCCACCCTGTCAAAAAAAAAAAAAAAAACCTAAATGGCTAATAACACATCATAAAGCTGTTCAACTCATTAGTTTGGGAGGAAACACAAACTAAAACTATAAAATATTGTATTATGCCCACCAGAATAGCTAAAATTATATTTGTTTAATAGCAAGTGTTGGCAAAGATGCAAAGTGATGAGAACTCAATGAGAACAAACCACTACCAACACCATGAAAATCGATTGTTTTATATACTAAAAATGAAAAGAAGCAACAATTCTACAACTAAGTCATTTCCAAACACAAATTCATGCATATATGCACCGAGAACCCTAGATAAGAATGTTCAAATCAACAAAATCTACAATAACTTCAAACTTGAATCCAAATGCCAGCAACAAAAAAAAGGGATAAACTGTAGTAAATTCACAGTTACACCTACGTGAAACAATGTGAATGACTCGTCCACATAATTTTGAGCCAATTGAGCAAATTAAGCTAGACAAAAAAGAATACTCAAATATGATGGATGTGGAGTTCAAAACATGCAAAACAAACCTACAGTGGAAGTTGTAATTGTGATCATTTAATCTGTTCAGAAGGCTGGAATATTTTTTTTCAGTAATGACATAATGAATCAGTTAGAACTTTGATTCCTAAGTATTCGGCATGAAAGAGCCTTATGTTCACATCTTTTGCCTTATGTTCAGAAACTTAGAGGATTCACTTACATCAGTAATGCTATACTCCAATGTTTATGCTCTAAATCTCAAGAAACATAATCAATTCCTGATAGATCATGTCCAAAATTCTCACCTGCCATTAACAGCCTTTTAGATTTTAGAAAAGGCCTTCCAGCTTCTAAATGGCTCCATCTAACCAATAGAAAATGATCCACTCCGGGGACCAGCAGTTATCATAATAGCTATGTCGCTGGACTCCCATGTAGTCAACCATGGTTCAAGTCCCAGACCCGGTGGCTTAAACTCACACCAGGCACGTGTGCATGCATGCCCAACATCCCAAGAGGAGAATGGAGGAGAAGGGATTGAGACATGGCCATCCCCCTGGGAGTGATTTCTTGCTTTCTGTCTCTCTGTCTCTCTCTGTCTTTCTGGCAAGTGCACACACCCTATTTTTTTTCTGGACAAGGCCCCCCCCCTAAAAAAAAACCCCTAAAAAAAAAAAAAAAAAAAAAAGATCCACTCCTTAGTGACAGCTCAAAGTCTCCATTCCATTCTTTTTTTTCTTTTATTTCCTTTTCTTTTCTTTTTTTAGACATGTGTAGTTGAAAGAGAGGAAGAGGGGAAGTGAGAAATCACTCCTGGGGGGGGTGCGGTATGACCACACTGCAATCCCTTCTCCATTCTCCTCCGGAGATTTTGGGCACACATGCACTTGTGCCCAGTATGATTTTCAATCTGCCAGGCCCAGGACTCAAACCATGTGTTGGCCATGTGGAAATTCAGTACCTTAACCACCATACCACCTTGCTGACCCCCAAACTCTCCACTCTTGCAAGTTGACTTCTAGCCTATTCTCACTCAGTTTATCCATTTGTGATTATCTTTTTCTCATTCCAATAATCAAAACTTTGAATAGTTGTAAAGTCCTACCTCTTCCCTTAAGTCTAAATAAATGAGAATAGAAAGGATTTGTATTATGTAAATTTTGGGTTACCTCTTCCCAAAATTGAAGACTTCGGGTATATCAGCAGTGCCTCATTTACTCAGAGATATGGCAAGCCCAATTATTATCTGATATTTGTGTGTGGATATAAGGAGGCCATAGAGTGAAGTAACAAAAAGCCAACTATTCCCCCATGTTCTCTAAAAGCACTAGTACTCAGAAGGTTTGGGGCTCTAGGCAGTGAAGCGATTTGTTATTTTCATTACATACAATGTGTAGAGGGTACTAACATGCAAGATTATGGGGGAAGGGTAAAATATAACCAGTTAAAAAATGAAGATATGGACTACAATAGAAGCTTAACTACTCAGATACATAGAATACTTTTTAAGAGTTCCCATGATTTTAGAAAGAGATTTTAATCATAATTTAAGCAAATATCATAAATAAATATTTTAAATGATTTTTAAAATAACCTTGTTCTGTATTTTGGGTTTCATAATAACATTGTTAATATAATATTACATAGTAAACAAGTAGAATGAACCAGAAATTATAATCTCATGACTGGCTAATCTCTGAGGAATGTTAGCAACTGATGTGATATGACAAATTGATACTGTATTGTTCTAAAGCAAAAAATAACTAGCAAATGTAAGAATTAAGTTTATTTATAATTTATTACTAAAGTTAATAAGTAATTGACTTACTGAAACAGAACATCTTTAATTGTGGTAATATTAAGTAAACCAATGTTTCTGTTAATCCCCCTAAAACTGTGTCAAATATTTGCCAGACTCACTCATAGCTCCTTAATGAAACCAATGGTTGACCTTTATAATATAGAAGAGCCAGCTAATAAGCTAGTGATGATTTTTTTTTTTTAAGAATTATTTACTGATGGGAACCAGCAGTTAGCGTAATGGTTATGTCACTGGACTCCCACGTAGTCAATAGCAGTTCGTGTCCCGGACCCGTTGACTTAAAACTCACGCCAGGCACGTATGCATGCGTGCCCAAGATCCCGAGAGGAGAATGGAGGAGAAGGGATTGCGGCGTGACCATCCCCCCTGGGGGGTGATTTCTCGCTTTCTGTCTCTCTGTCTCTCTCTGTCTGGTGAGCGCATACGCCCTATAGCAAAAACCTCTCCCAAAAAAGAATTATTTACTGAACCAGCAGGTGGCATGGTGGTTAAAGTGCTGGACACTGCCACCACGGTTAGAGTCCCAGACCTGGTGGCTTGCTTTCTCACTTTCTCTCTCTTTCTCTCTCTCTCTGTCTCTCTCTGGTCAAATTTTAAAAAATGAATAAATAAAATCATTCTTTTAAAAGAAAGAATGATTTATTTAATTTATTTATTATTGTTATTTTTTAGCTTGACCAAAGAGATAGAAAGAAAGAGAGAGAGAGGAAAAGTGAGAAAGCAAGTTTCCAGGTCTGGGACTCAAACCACAGTCACCCATGTGGGAGTCCAGCACTTCAACCAACATGCCACCTGCTGGTCCCAATAAGCTAGTGATCTTAAAGTGGTATTAGTAAGTAGTGTTTAGTCCCTGTTGAAAAAAATATATGTCATTTAAGTGTTAAGTTAAAAATATAGAAAAATGTCAACATACGTGAGCTTTATGATAAGGGTTGTTGTCTTTGATTCCTGGCAAATATCTACGCCTTCCCAAAATGGTTTGAACAAATCCATCTCTTTTACAATTCTTCACTGTCTCTCTCATGAAATGATTAATCCCTACAAAGAAAAATACAGAAATACATAATTGCAACCAAGGCCCATCCTTTATTTTATTTACTGGTTTCAAAACAGTGAAATATACCTTAATCCCAATGATTCTTGACATTAATATCACATCATCAAAACTGTGCATACCAACTTTCATTCATTTTTCCTAGACTCAGAAAGTTAGAAATAAAACAAGCTTTAGATATGATATAATCTAACCTTATCGTTTTTAAATTAACGAACATATGAAACTAAATTCCAGAAAAGAGCAGGTATTTCAGTGTTTTTACTCAAGGGTTTTAAGACTGCCCCACACTAATATTCACAAGTTTCTATTCTTTGACTGTGTTAATCTTCTTTTATATTTTAAGCTGCTAACTTCCAGACTTAAATACTGTAATAGCTTCTTGCTACCATCTATGTTGTGATCTAAAAAGGATTTTACTGAAAGCTATGCATGAGTTCTAAATATTTCACTAAAAACAGTTACCCACTTTTTTCATTAAAAAAGATTATACATAGTAGAGTATTTGAATGCATTCGTATTCCCTCTACCAGCATTCATCCTTCAGGATAGGCCCATTATTGTGTGTTACAGATCTACAGATGAATCCTTCGTTCCACGTGAGTCAGACTCACTGCTCATTTCTGTCTCTGAGCTCAATTCTTTCTCCTAGAATTCTCTTTCTCTACATTCTTCATAATACAACAGGACACAGACACCTTGTTGACCTATCTTTTTTATTATTATGTGCGATTTCTGCTTACTCACACTCTGCTTATTCTGAGTAATAAAAATTAACGTCTCCCAATGGAAAACCCTCCTTTGAGGCCTTCTGTTGTGTTGGACCCAGGAGAGATACTTGGTGAGATACTGGGTGAATGGAAGGGGAGAAAACCCTGCCAAGTGAAGCTGTAGGCGATATCTGACGATTAGGACAGGAATTTCAGAAAGCTTTCAGGCTCCCATCACCTCCCTTTAACAATTACTGTGGTATTGCTGGATGAAGAAAAGAAAGAAAAAAGAAAAGGAAAAAAAAAGAAAAGAAAAAAGATTGAAATATGAGGTTGTGCCTCTACAGATTCTCTTACTAAATCGTAGGGGAGGCTTTCAGATATTCAAAATGCAAGACCTACTTTTAAAAACAAACAATCCTGAGGTATAAGTTACATATAATAAAAGGCATCCACATCAAGTTTTATATATTTTTGAAAACATATACAACCCTATAGCTACAAGAAGATCTGAAACCTTTTATTTCCTTTTTTAGCTCCCCTTTATCAGCCTCAGATCTGATCTACTTACAATATCTAAGTTTTTGTACTTTTTTTTTTTTGAGAGGTTTTCGCTACAGTGTGCGTGCGCTCTCCAGACAGACAGAGACATAGAGACAGAAAGCGAGAAATCACCCCCCAGGGGGGATGGTCACACCGCAATCCCTTCTCCTCCATTCTCCTCTCTGGATCTTGGGCACACACGCACACGCACCCAGCGTGAGTTTTAAGCCACTGGGTCCAGGACGTGAACCTCAGTCAACTACGTGAGAGTCCAGCAACATAGCCATTACGCTAACTGCTGGTTCCCAAGTTTTTGTATTCTTGAATTTCATAAAACGTAAATTATACTATATGGTCTCATTTGTGTCTGCCTTCTGTTACCAGGGAAAACTTTTTCAAGAATGGTCAATATTGTAGTATCAACCTTTAATTCCTTTTTCATTGGTTAACAGCATTCTATTGTAGAGAGATACCAAAATGTGTTTATCCTTTCTCCTGTTGATAGGCATGTGGCCTGTTCTCAGTATTTGGCTGTTATGAATAAAGTTGCAGTAACATTCATGTACGAGACTTCTTTTGGACATATGCTTTCATTTTTCTTGGGAAAATACCTGATAGTAGAATTACAGGGCCACATGGTTAACTGCTTAACTTTATGCAAAAGAAGAACACTCTTTTATTTTTTTCCATTTAATAGTTTCTAAGAGATACAGTGTTTTAATTTTGGTTATCCAGTTGCAAGAGTTCTTTATATATTCTGGATACATGTCCTTTGTTAGATAATAAATACTGCAAATAATTTCTCCCAGTCTATAGCTTATTTTTACCTTGTCTTAATCATGTCTTTTATCAACATTTTTCTACTAAGGTAACTCAGTTTTATTATAACCTAAGAAATCTTGGCCTGCCCCAATATCTTAAAGATCTCTTATTTTTTTCTAGAAAGAGTTATCATTTTAGCTATTACTTTTAAGTCTATGTTCCATATCAAATTAATTTTTGTACATTGCGTGAGATAAAAGTTGAGGTTCACTTTTCCCATACCCATATGCAGTTCTAGCACCAATTACTGAAAGACCATCTTTCGTCCATTAAGTTACCATGGCAATTCTGTTGAAAATCAACTACCCATATATGCAGGCCTATTTCTAGTCCTCTATTGTGTTCCACTGTTCTCTATATCTATCCTTATGCCTGTCTTGATTATTATAATTTTATGAATTTTGAAATCAGGAAATATAAATCCACAACATTGTACTTGTGCCCAAAATATAATTCTTGAGTCCGGGTCCCTTTGAATTTCCATGTAAATTTAAAATTGTGTGTGTGTGTGTGTGTGTGTGTGTGTGTGTGTATCTTACTTCACTGTTTGTTGTTAGCATAAGGAAATATAAGTAATTTTTATTTATTTAAATTGACTACAGGGCACATGCCCTCACTAGAGAAAAAGAGAGAGGGAAAGTGAGAAAATACTCCCTAGAGGGGATGACCATAGCACAATCCTTTCTCCTCCATTCTCCTCTTGGGATTTTGGGCAACCATGAACATTCACACATCATGTTTTTACGCTGGCAGATTGGGACTCTGCACATCCAGCCATGTATTTGTGCAAGTCCCAAAATATAAGTAATTTTTATACATTGACCTTATATGGCAATATCTTGCTAAATTTAGTTATTTTTTTCTAATAGGTTTTATAGAACTATCTACGAGATTATTCTAGGTATAAGATCATGCCACATGTGAATAAAAACTGCTGTCTTTTTCCTTTCAAATCTGTATAGTATTTTTCTTACAACAATGCACTGGTTACTTTAGCACCAACAGGGTTAAGAGACAGGATTGATTATAAAATGGCATAAGAGGACTTTTTTGAGTGATGGAGAGATGTTTCTATATTTTATTCTAGTTGTGATGTAGATTAGTTCACAAAATCCTATACCAGAAAAGAGTAAATTTTGTCACATATAAATTGCCAAGAGGAGAGAGAATTTTTTTTCTTTGAGAGGTTTTTGCTATAGGGCACATGTGCTCACCAGAGTGACAGAGAGAGACAGGGTGACAGAAAGCAAGAAATTACCCCCCGGGGAGATGGCCACGCCACAATCCCTTCTCCTCCATTCTTCTCTCTGAATCTTGAGCACATGCACGCTGTGAGTTTAAGTCACCGGGTTCAGGACTTGAACCAAGGTCGACTAGACGGGAGTCCAGCGACATAGCCGTTACTCCAACTGCTGTTCCCAAGGAGAGATAACTTAAGACAATGACACTCAAACTGTTCCATAACAGCAATTGCTCCTGGTACATTTAGTTACAGGTTTACTGTTTCAAACTAAAGCTATATAAACCTTGGGCACAAGTCAATTCCCATATTTTATGGGATATTCACAATGACACAGTAGCATATACATCAGGTATATTTTACTATTCTATCTCTGCCCTTATTTTTATGAAAAATGCACATCTTATCAAATAATCATCAATAAGTTTAATAGTACTTGTTCTTAATAATGCCTAATGAAAATTTCCAATTAACAGATACTTTCATAAAAAATTCTCTAATATAAATCTGTTAAAATCAATATAATATGGTAAGATAGTTGAAAAGAATAGTATCTAGAAGATAATTAGCACCAAGGCTTCTTTACCTGTGTATCTAGATTTGAATGAGTCGATATAGCAAGCAGCATCATTTTCTTTAATGCCCATCTGCTCTCCCAAAGACTTAGCTCCCATTCCATAAATGATTCCATAGCAAATCTGAAAGGGAGTCATCACATTTGGTAAATAAATTAAGTCATAACTACATAAAATGCAAATATAAAGAGTTCATTAGGATTGAAATTTTGATAAACTTTTTATTTCATAGTAAATTCAATAAATAATTAGATTTGGTTTTGGTAGGTTAGATCCACAGAGGCTTATATCCAATAAATATTCTTTCTGCCTTTTAGTATTATTTTTTGAGAGAGAAAAAGAGAGAGAGGGAGGGAATTTGCATGCATATGAATATGCATATATTTTCTTAAGAATTATTTTAACTTTATTTATTTATTTTAATTTGACTAGAGAAGGGGAGAGAGAGAAAGTGAGAAAGCAAGCCGCCAGGTCTAGGACCCAAACCACGGTCAGTCATGTGGGAGTCCAGTGGCCCTAACTACCATGCCACCTGCCGGCACCCCCCACGTGTAAGTGTTTTAAAAAAATAGCTTGAGTCGGGGAAAAAGTGGCACAGCAGTAAAACACAACATTCTGTGAGGCAATCCCACATGGGAAGGTTCCCAACCCAGAGACCTTCCTGAGTACACCAAGTACTCACTTACCCATGATCCCAGATTGGCTGAAGGCTGGGGGTGGATTGCAGTATGAAGACCCTGTTGGGGGTGCTATATCTCTCTCATATAATAAATTAATAAAATTAAAAATAAAATAATCTTAGTGATTTGAGAGGAGAGACTTACTTCTGATGAGTTGTCATTTATCCATTCACCTTAGAGTAGCTTTCTACTAGTACCTCATAAACTTTCACATATAGGGGGCCAGCTGGTAGTGTTGTGGTTAAGGCACCGACTCCCACATGGGTAACTGCAATTCAAGCCCTAGACCTAGTGGCTTGAAAAATCACACCGGCTATATGTGCATGCATGTCCAAAATCCCAAGAGGAGAACAGAGGGGAAGGGATTGCAGCATGACACCCCCCCCAAAGGGGGATGATTTCTCACTTTCCCTCTTTCTGTCTCTCTTCATCTCTCTCCAGCAAGGGCACGTGCCCTCTGACAATAACCTAAAAAAAAAAAAAAAATTAAAATTAAATAACAAACTTTCACATATAGAAGTATCTAGAAGACAAGAAGAGTTGGCTTCATGTTTTGATAATAGAGAAGACTTCACTGAAAATAAATTATCACTGAAAATAAATATCTTCCTCACCTCACTGCCCCCTGAAATCCCAGAGCTGCAAAATTCATTTGGGTTAAATACAAAGCAAAAACTCCTATGGAAATTTTGGAAGAAATGGTCTAGATAGGCCGCTAAAGAAACCCTGATTTAATAATAATATTGCTTGGGTTCAGATCCTAGTTCTACCATTCAGAAGATGCATGATCTTGTACAAGCCACTTAACATCTTTGTATGTTTCCTTTACTCTTAATAGAGGGTATGTACATGCATGAGAGAGAGCACTCTCCACAGGGTCTGGGAGTGCCACAGTCTCCACCTGGTAGTCTTCCAGCCCACTGGATCCTGGGCCCTCGCACGTGTACCCAGCATGTTTCCGGCTGAATGGGGCATTCATGCATTACTGCTGCACCACAGAGCCAGCCCACGTTTCTTATTTTCTTCATCCACACCATGAAGGCAGTAATGCCTGTATCATAGGGTTGTTAGTATTAAATGAGTTGTTACTGAAAGTCTTTAGGAAACTACCTGACATAAAGCAAACTTTATAAACATGTATAAAGTTGTTAAATAAAATCTAAAAAGATAACTTGCATAAAATGATTATCAGAATTCCAAAAACGTTTAATGTGACAAGGTAGAGAGCACTCCACCTTTTTAATTTTTTTATTTTTTGCTAGAGGGTGTATGTGCTCACCAGAGAAGACAGAAAGGGAAAGGAAAAAGCAACCCCCATGGGGGAATGGCCACATTCCCCTCTTCTCTGTATTTCCCTCCTTTCAGAATTTTGGGCATGCATGCACACATATCCAGCATGTTTTTCAACCCACCAGATCCAGGACTCAGACTGCATGGTTAGCCACGTGGGATCCAGCACCTTAACAACCAGGCCATGGAAGTGGCCCGCCCTTTATTTAATACACTGACAGGGAGATTTTTTTTTTTAACATTTTTGCCATAGGGTGCGTATACATGCCAGAGAGAGACAGAGAGAAGGAAAGTGAGAAATTACCCCCAGAGGGGATGGCCATGCAACAATCCTATCTCCTTCATTCTCTTCTCAGGACTTTGGACAAACACATGAATCTGGTGTGATTTTCAAGCTGCCAGGTCTGAGACTCGCACTGTGGTCACACACATGCAGATCCCGGTCTTTAGCTACCATGCTGCCTACTAGCCCCTTTGTTTTGTTTTCAATGCTCTATTTTGTGCGACTCTTACCGTGTTCTGGTTGTATTTCAGTTCATTGTGTTGCTAATAACAGAAATAGTTGAGTCTGGGCAATATGTAAAGAATAGAGGTTTATTTAGTTAATAGTTTCGGAGTTCCAAGGTGAAAGTCCACATCTGGTGAGAATCTCCTCACATCTGGTGCGGACCTGAGGCAGTGCGGGGTACCACATGGTGAGAGCTTAAGCAGAGCATGTCTCTGTCTCATCCTCTTTCCTATCAACACACTAGGACTCCACTCTTATGACCTCAATCCTAATCACTTTCTAAAGACTCCACCTTTTAACACCTTTCATAATTTGATTAAGTCTCTCTCAACACTGTTCCAATGGCTCACTAGATTTCTTTTTTCTTTTTTTCTTTTAATTATAGGAACATTCTTGAGCCATACTGGAAAAGACATTCATGCAAGTGGATGTGGTTTGGGATAAACTCACCAACTTTAGAGCCACGCCCTCCCTCTCACACTCTTGCTCTCCCTCCTTATCTGAGACCTAGGGATCTCTCTCCGCCCCTACATATACACTTCAGGTTACCAGAGACACACACACAAAGGAGCCTTCTCACTGTGGAGAAGTTTCCAGCACGAACAGTCCCTACTCCAGACAGGATGCCACCCCCAGCCCCAAGTCAACGCAGATCTTCTTAGCTGCTGGTTTTATCAGCCACAGAGATGTTTTCCCCAGGTCAGGCAGGGGACGGCAGGTGCTGGGGACCTAAGTGAGGATGTCATGGGCCTGGTGCTCCATCATCATCGCCATGCTCTTCATATCAGTGCACCAGAGCTCCCGGCAGTCCTTCATGTCCTTGATCTGTGGCAAATCCAACACACAGGGCTGCACTCAGGTCAAGCAAACACGCTTATCCACCTCGTCAGCACTGCCTTCACCAGCCCCACTGTCAGGGTCTTTATCACCAAAAATTCACCTCATTCACTGTGATTTCAGCACTTTCGGTGATTGCTTCAAAAGTTGTCTGTGATCGGCAGGTTGTGTGAACGTCATCTCCGTGAGGCACAACAGCTGAATTTTCCTCTGAACTTGGCTTCACTGGCTGCTAAGTCAGGCTGCCAGGCAGTCTTCTGAGCAATCTCTCCACACTGCCACTGTTAAAGGCATACAGGGTGTCAATGAGCCAGCTGGTGGTCACTATTCCTCAGCAATTCCATCACAGGGTACATGAGGAGCTCTCCAAAGTTAAAAACTCCCTCACCAAGAAATCATCCCAAATTGGTGATTTGGGGTGTCTCACTGTCACTTGCTCACCCCCTCTCATTGTCGCTCTCTCTCTCCCAGTCCCAGCGTGAAGGTCGTCTCCTGCTGCTCAGTCATTGGTAGATCCTTGATATCCACACAGCCCAGAAACTGCAGACATCTTTGTAATAAGATACACCGTTTCCAATTGTTGTTAGGCAACAACAATTGTTGTTAGGAGGTTAGGCATTTCTTCAACATGTTCAGTGGTTTTCTTTGTAACCTGCAGGTCCCTGATGTTTAATTTTAGAGCTCTGATTGTTGTTTTACACAGGATCCCTGCCTCATCACTACTTTTCACCTTCTCACAAGTCTTTTCCAGAAAAGAAACAGCTACATTAGGATCAGTCATCTGTCTAACTGCATGGAGAATGATTTCTACCAGGGAGAAAGGATTCACCCTGTGTTTAAATCCATTGTGAAGCTTTCATAAACTTCTGCCCATTTCCTTGGACAAAGCACGAGTCCTGCATAAACTCAAGCACCTGAAGTGTTAGCTGATGCCACATTTTCACATAGAGCTCCTCTAGCTGTTGTCACACAGCAGCCTGACCCAGCCCGAAGCTCTGTCTCTGTTGTAGGAAGTCCAGTACATCCTTCATGACTGCAGGGCAAGCCCAGGATAGAGCACAACTGAGATGCCAGCGCCACAGGGATGGCTGGAAGTGCTCACTCACTTCCGGCGCTGGGCCTGTGCTGCAAGGAGCATGCTGGAGCACAGTGTCCTACACCTGCAGCCCTGTTGTTGCCAGGGTAACCATGTCTCTCCTTTTGGACCATCCCTTCTGGGTTGTGGTCAGAGCTCACACACTCCCAGCTGTGCCACTGGGGCATAAAAGAGTGTGAGCACCTGGGGTCGACCCAGCCAATGGCTGCGTGGCTACATTTTCTCCTTTCAGTCATAAATGGCAATGGTAACTTCCTACTAGTGTGCGAGGACCAAGTGTCCTAGTCATGCCTGACCATAGCAAGTACTGGGTATCATCCCATCCCTGGTTGAAAAAGATGGGTGCACATGGCGAAGAAATGCAGAATCCCGGTTTGGCATTGGGAGCAAGAGGCCAGAACCAACATTCTAGGTAATGTCCACCTCTCCCCACCAGCTCATTATAGAGTTCAATAAATAAATTTTGAGGGAAAACATTCAAACATTAGGGTATTGATTTGGGGTATAGGGGCCTTGTTTTTTGGTTTTTGTTTTTTCAGTTTTTGGGGGGTTTTTTGCTCATAAATTACTTAGTACTCACTGAGAGCTGAGCAAGACTCAGGGATTAGATGGTTTAGTACATTGATCTAGGAGGAAAAATTGGTAGAGCATAGGCACCATGATATCATGCAAGAACTGGGGCCAACAGGTGGTATAGTTAAGTTGCTGGACTCCCACATGGCACATTGTGGTTAAAATCTGGGACCTTGTGGCTTGAAAAAAACCACACCAGGCACATGTGCATGCATGCCCAAAATCCTAGGAGGAAAAGGCAGAAGGGATTGTGGCATGGCCGTCCCCCCTAGAGGGGTGATTTCCCTCTCACTGTTACTCTCTGTCTCTTTCTAGTCAGTGCACACACCCTATGGCAAAAATCTTTTAAAAAAAAATGCAAGAATTTATTAGAGGCAGCTATCACCAGTGAATAAATGCGTAGGTTAGGGAATCAGAACACTCAGCTCTGGCCTTTCTGAACTTGTCCTGGGTCTACCACTATAGGTATATGACCTTAAGCTAATTATTAGCTTTCTGTGCCTCATTTTCCTCCTCTATAAAATGAGGGTAGTAATAATAATACCTATCTCAATACTTGACTCTGAGGATTAAATATTTTACCAAGATTAAATATTTTCCCTAGAGTTTGATTCTGGCTAAATGCAGGACCACAGAGGGGATTAAATAGAGAAACAAAGATGGCTTTCTTTAAGTGGAAATAAGTGTTGGTGCTAAACAGGCAGTGGTGGGGACCAGCAGTTGGCATAATGGCTATGTTGCTGGACTCCCATGTAGTTGACCTCTGTTGGAGTCCCGGACCCAGTGGCTTAAACTCATGCCAGGCGCTTGTGCGAGTGTGCCCAAGAACCCGAGAGGACAATGGAGGAGAAGGAATTGCAGCACGGTCATCCCCCCTGGGGAGTTCTTTCTCACTTTCTGTCTCTCTGTCTCTCTCTGTCTGGTAAGCACACATAACCTATAGCAAAAACCTCTCAAAAAATTATTTTAAAAATTATTAAAAAGACAGTGGTGTGAGAAAGCCTTACATGCCTGATGAGCCCGTCAAGAATTACAGCTCTGGGACCAGCAGTTAGCGTAATGGCTATGTCGCCAGACTTCCATGAAGTCAACCATGGTTCAAGTCCTGGACCCAGTGGCTTAAACTCGTGCTGGGCATGTGTTCATGCCTGCCAAAGATCCCAAGAGGAGAATGGAGGAGAAGGGATTGCGGCGTGGCCATCCTCCCTGGGGGGTGATTTCTCGCTTTCTGTCTCTCTGTCTCTCTCTATCTTTCTGGCAAGCGCACGCGCCCTATAGCAAAAACCTCTCCAAAAATAAAGAAATAAAGAAATAACAAAATACAGCTCTGAGTGACTAGAGGCATTAATATAAGCTAATTAGGCAGGATCTCAGAGTTGGGGTGGTATGCCTTTTCCTCAACCAATAGTTCTGCTCTCTTGAAAATGGCATCAGATCTCCTCCAGGTCATGCTATAAGTACAGTGTGAATCCAGACCTGGAAACAGTGCGTATGTGGCCCCTGACTTTGTGCCTGACAGTTGTCCAGGGGTAGGAACTAATGCAGTTCCACTACAAAGGTGCAAAGGCAGCATGATGTTTCTCAGGTGGACTAGCTAACCAACTGCCCCCATATGAAAAGTTTTCAGTTATAAAGTATAATCCATGCTCTGCAATATTTATTTTTAACAAATATTTAAGGAGCACCTTCTATACAAAGCACATGGCTTGATGCTATGGGAAAATATAAAAACAGAAATACATAGAATTTTACCTCAGGACACTTAGAGAATAGAAAGAGATTTAAAATACACACACACACACACACACACACACACATACATACACACACAATGACAATCACCACAATCACGGTATCTACCACTTTTAAACAGCATCTACTGTATACTGTACCAAGCATGTGACTACTCTCATTACAGAAATGTATGTGGGTTTCCTGACAATAAGTAGCCTCAGACCTAAGCCTGTCTGGTTTTTCTACTGCCTATACAAAAGGAAGTATAAAGAAAACCATGAGACAGGCTCAGACGAATGTGGTTTGAAATAGCCAAAGAAAGAGAAACTGTTCATCAACTGTAAATAATTGAGACGATTTAAAAAACTTGGGGGGAAGAGCAGCAGGTGGCATTGTGGTTAAGGTGTTAGACTCCCATATGGTAGACTGCAGTTCGATTCCCAGACCTGGAGACTTGACACTTAGACCAGGCCTGTGCGCATGCATGCCTGGAATCCTAGAAGGAGAATGGAGAAGGGGAGAAGGGATTGCAGCATGGTCATTTCCCACTCCAGGGAGGGAGAGATTTCTTACTTTCCCTCTTGCTGTCTCTCTCTCCTCTCTGGCAAATGTATGTGCCCTATGAAAAAATATATATATTGAGTCATTAGATTCTTCTCACTGTATTAAGCATGCTCACTAAGATCACCTGCTTTGCTTGTTGTCTCAGTTCATTCCCAACAGTCTCTGGCTCAATCATCTTCCATTCCGCTGCAATGCTCCTGAAAACATCAGCTCCAGTGTTTAATACTTGAATGAGACGATGGTCATGGGATAAATGAGCCAAAATCCTCAGTTCAAGCTGAGAGTAATCAGCAGCCAATATTAAACCACCTGAAGAAGAAATAATCTCAGAAAAGTTAGTGGAAAGTTTTATATAATCCAAGATATATAAAATGTCATGGAGCAAGATAAGAGAAAGTTACTCTAACTTAGAACTTTGAGGTCATGCGTTCAAAAGTTAAAATCTTGCCCTTAATATGATGCAAGTCCTGGGGCCAGCAAGTGGCATAATGGTAAAAGTGCTAGACTCTCACGAGTCTGACTGTGGTTCATGTCCCGGACCCAGAAGCTTGAAACACACCAGGCATGTGTACGTCCTGGCCCAAAATCCCAAGAGGAGAATGAAAGAAAAGGGGCTGTGGCATGGCCATCCCCCCTGCAGGGTGATTTCTCACTTTCTCTCTTTTCCTTCAGCACGCACATATGCCTTATAGCAAATAAAATAAAATAAAATAAAATAAAAATATGATGCAAGTCAGTTTTGTATCTTATATCATCTTTTTTCATTTAGCTTTCAAGTATACGTAATTTATGCAAAGTTGTTCCTGATATTTGCTCCCTAGTCACAGCGGAGTGCTTTTCTCAGTGCTCACACAGCCCTTGGTACATAATCCAAAGAGGTTCTTTCATGTCTCTTCCAAGTGATGCTGAGGCCTTAGGGATAGAGACTCATTTGTCTTTCTGTTGTATAGAAATTCTTACAGTTTCTAATACATAAAAGGCCCTTAACAAATGGCGGAATGAATAAACTAATCAATGGAGAAAGCAGTGTCCAGTGTGTGCACATATTAGTGGGCTGGAAAGAAGAAAAGCGAGCTTTACTTTGACGATAACAAGACAGTCACTAAAAAAAAATATCAAGTGATTGGGACCAGCAGTTAGCGTAATGGCTATGTTGCTGGACTCCCACGTAGTCCACCACGGTTTGTGTCCCGGACCGGTGGCTTAAACTCACGCTGGGTGCGTGTGCGTGCGTGCCCAAGATCCTGAGAGGAGAATGGAGGAGAAGGGATTGCGGCGTGGCCATCCCCCCGAGGGGGGATTTCTCGCTTTCTGTCTCTCTGTCTCTCTCTGCCTTTCTCGCACGCCCCTTATAGCAAAAACCTCTCAAAAAAAAAAAAAAAATCAAGTGATTGATAGGTGAGGAACAGTTACTAAGAAGAATAAAATTATTTACCTATGGATTAGAAATGAGTGGATCAGATATGCAAGGAAAAAAATAAAATTTTAAAAATAAAAACTTGTTCAAAGAAAAAGTAGGAAAAATATTCACTTAAATATCACAAAGACCCATTGCTATAGTATAAAAAGAAAAATGACTACAAATCAAAGACAAGATAAATTACAAATAAGCAGTTCATGGAATAAAAACAAAGAACTTAAATATATTTTTAAATATTCAATGTCATTCTTAAGGAAAATGCAAATTAAATTTATAGCAAGAAACAATTTTGTTTCACTTATAATACAAAAATTTAGACTTTAGAAAACACCTCTGAATCAAAGCTGTGGTGAAAGAAATGGTCATCTGGGGTCAGTGAGAAGTCAAATGGTGACCTCCTCCCCAACTGGAGGGTAATCTGACAATATTTATGAAAGTTAAACAGGTTCTTACACGAAGACTCAGCCAATACACCCACAGACCGCTACAAAGATTACCTGTAAACAGATGAAACTGGCTTCTTTTCTTTTTCAGAGAGGTTTTTGATATAGGGTGTGCGTGCTCACTAGAGAGAAACAGAGAGACAGAAAGCAAAAAATCACCCCCCAGGGGATATGGCCATGCCTCAATCACTTCTCCATTCTCCTCTCGGGATTTTGGGCACACACACCTGGGGTGAGTTTTAAGTCACTGGGTCCAAGTCTCAGGCTGCGGTCAACTATGTGGGAGTCCAGTGATGTAACTAACCATCATGGTCTCACCAAACTGGCTGATTTTCTCATTTCATTACTGACAAGAACAAGTCTCTAATATAAAAAAATTTTAAAAAAGCAATGCACACAAAGTATTTATAGAATGTAATTTTTTTGTATAAAAGTAGAAAAATGGGACCAGCAGATGGCATAATGGCTATGTTGCTGGACTCCCATGTAGTGCATCAGGTGCATGTGTGTGTATGCCCAAGATCCCAAGAAGAGAATAGAAGAGAAGGGATTGCGACATAGTCAATCCCCCTAGGGGGTCATTTCTTAATTTCGATCTCTCTATCTCTGTCTTTCTGGAGTGCGCACAAGCCCTATAGCAAAAACCTCTCCAAAAAAGAAAAAAATATTGCATATTCATATTTGCTTCTATATGCTTAAAAAAATATAGACAGGGGGCCAGCAGGTGATTAAATGCTAGTAGTTAAAATGCTAGTCTCCCATGTGGTCAGTTGTGGTTCAAGTCCCAGGCCTGGCAGTTTTCTTTCTCTGCCTCTCTCTGTTGAGCACATGTTACCTGTAGAAAATTTAAAATAATAATAATAATAATAATAATAAGGGGGCCAGCAGAGAGCATAATTGTTATGTCACTGGACTCCCACATGGCTGACTGTAGTTCGAATCCTGGAGCTGGCGTCTTGAAACTGACAATAGGTGCATGTACATGAGGGCTCAAAATTCCAAGAGGAGAATGGAAGAGAAGTGACTGCAGTGTGACCATTCCCCCAGGGGATGATTTCCACTTTCTGTCTCTCTGTGTCTCTTTGGCGAGCACATGCACTCTATAGCAAAAATCTCTCTTAAAGAAATAATAAATAGAGCTCTTTCCCACTATACACAATAGCGGGCGATAAAGCTGCAAAGCAGGATACTAAGGAGAAAAAACCTGAAGCCAAGAAGGCTGATACCAGTGGCAAGGTTAAAAAGGGTGACCCCAAGGCTAAAAAGCCCAAGAAGGGGAAGCCCCATTGCAGCCAAAACCCTGTCCTAGTCCGGGGCATCGGCAAATACTCCCGATCTGCCATGTACTCCAGGAAGGCCATGTACAAGAAGAAATACTGGGCCACTAAGTCCAGGATAGAAAAGAAAAAGAAGGAGAAGGTTCTTGCGACTGTCACCAAACCGGTTGGCGGAGACAAAAATGGTGGTACCCGGGTGGTTAAACTGCGCAAAATGCCTAGGTATTATCCTACTGAAGATGTGCCTCGAAATCTGTTGAGCCATGGCAAAAAAACCCTCCAGTCAGCATGTGAGACAGCTGCGAGCTAGCATCACTCCTGGGACCATTCTGATCATCCTCCCTGGACGCCACAGAGGCAAGAGAGTGGTTTTCCTGAAGCAGCTGAGCAGTGGCTTGCTACTTGTAACTGGACCACTGGTTCTCAATCAGGTTCCACTGCGTAGAACACACCAGAAATTTGTCATTGCCACCTCCACGAAAATTGATATTAGCAAAGTAAAAATCCCAAAGCACCTTACCGATGCTTACTTCAAGAAAAAGAAACTGCGGAAGCCCAGACACCAGGAAGGTGAGATCTTCGACACAGAGAAGGAGAAATATGAGCGATCTGCCATGTACTCCAGGAAGGCCATGTACAAGAAGAAATACTGGGCCACTAAGTCCAGGATAGAAAAGAAAAAGAAGGAGAAGGTTCTTGCGACTGTCACCAAACCGGTTGGCGGAGACAAAAATGGTGGTACCCGGGTGGTTAAACTGCGCAAAATGCCTAGGTATTATCCTACTGAAGATGTGCCTCGAAATCTGTTGAGCCATGGCAAAAAAACCCTCCAGTCAGCATGTGAGACAGCTGCGAGCTAGCATCACTCCTGGGACCATTCTGATCATCCTCCCTGGACGCCACAGAGGCAAGAGAGTGGTTTTCCTGAAGCAGCTGAGCAGTGGCTTGCTACTTGTAACTGGACCACTGGTTCTCAATCAGGTTCCACTGCGTAGAACACACCAGAAATTTGTCATTGCCACCTCCACGAAAATTGATATTAGCAAAGTAAAAATCCCAAAGCACCTTACCGATGCTTACTTCAAGAAAAAGAAACTGCAGAAGCCCAGACACCAGGAAGGTGAGATCTTCGACACAGAGAAGGAGAAATACGAGATTTCAGAGCAGCGCAAGATTGATCAGAAAGCTGTGGATTCGCAAATTTTGCCAAAAATCAAAGCTGTTCCTCAGCTCCAGGGCTACCTGCGATCCAGAAAACGAAAAATCACCCCCCGGGGTGGGTGGCCATGCCACAATCCCTTCTCCTCCATTCTCCTCTTGGGATCTTGGACATGCATGCACATGCGCCCGGCATGAGTTTAAGCCACCAAGTCCAGGACTTGAACTGCAGTCAGCTACATGGGAGTTCAGCAACATACCCATTACACCAACTGCTGGTCCCAGAATTAAATAAATTCTTAAAAAGAAGAAGAAGTATGGGTAGGATCTATAAGACACTCATATATTGTTACCTATGGGAATTCAGAATAATAGGTAAATAGGACAAGGAAAGAAACAAAACCTCTCAAGATACATCTCAGACTTTCTCCCCACCATTCCAGGCGCCCAGATCCTCTTGTGTCCACCTCCCTCCTCTGCCATTATCCCCAGCTCCTGTGTGGCAAGAGACAATAAGAAAACTGAGGCCAGAAATCACCTTGGTACCTCCACTTTCTCCCAACCATTCCAGACCTCAGGGCTTCCTGAAGTGTGCAGTGCATGATATGTGCCACACGGCCCCTACTTTCTTCCTCATTTGAAACCCTCAGCCCAGGTGCGAGTGTTTCCAAGAAACTGGAAGGTCATTGGAATAGTCAGTTCCAGCAACAATAGTGCAGGTCTCAGGCTGAGCATCAGGGAGATAGAGCTGTAGAGAGATCATGGTTCCCCTCCTTCCACACACCTTCAAACACACAGAATTAACTCCAAGAAATTAGGAAGAAACATATGATTCATCAGATGACCAGAAACTAGCACAGAGGCACAAAAAATATGAGAAACCAAGAAAATCTCTCTCCCCCAAGGGAAAAGAACAATTCCTCATCATCCACAGACAGTACAACGGAACTCATGGAAAAGTCAGATAAACAATTTAAAACACTCATAGTGATAAAACTAAATGAGGTGCAAGAGAAAAGAGACAACAAACTCCAGAACATGAGGAAGTCCTTTCAGTACTTGAAAGAAGAAAATAGACACTATAAAAAAAAAAAAATCAAACAGGGGCTGGAAGGTGGCGTGGTGGTTAAGAGCACTAGGCTCCCACATGGCCGACTGCAGTTACTCCCACATGGCCGACTGCAGTTTGAGTCCTGGACCTGGTGGCTTGCTTTCTCACTTTCTCTCTTTCTCTCTCTCTCTCCATCTCTAGTCAAATTAAAATAGATAAGTAAAATAAATAAATAATTATTTTTTAAAAATCAAACAGAACTGTTAGAGGTGAAGGCTGTAATACAGGAAATCAAAACCTCCTTTGAAAGTATTAAGTGCAGATTAGATCATGCAGAAGATCAAGTCTTGGTTCTAGAAGACAAAAACCTCTGACCTAGAAAAAATAACTAAAAAGACTGAGGAAATAATCCCCCAAAATATGAGAATATACAAGAAATATTAGATACCATTAAACACCCAAACATCAGAAAAATTGGTACACTGAGAGGTGAAGAAACTAATAAGGGCATTGATAATCTATTCCATGAGATCCTAGAAGAAAACTTTCAAAGCCTAGAGAAGCATTCAAACATCTAGACCCAAGAAATACAAAGGACCCAGATAGAATCAAGCCAAGAAGATCTTCTCCATAGCACATCATAGCTTGGCTATCCAAAACTACAAAGACCAGATACTAAAATCAGCAAGAGAGAAACAAAGTTTACTTACACAGGTTATCCCATCAGGCTAACATTGGACCTCTCAGTGGAAACAATGCAAGCAAGGAAAGAATGGGAAGATATATTCAAGTGTTAAATGGAAAACAATTTTAACTAAGATTACTACACCTGGCAGTACTATCCTTCAAATGGGAAGAAAAGATAAAAACATTCTCAGATAAAACCTGAAAGAATTTACCAACTCCAGACCAGCTCTTGAAGAAGTTCTGAAGGGGAGTCCTTGTACCAAGAAAACTAAAGTCAGACACACATAAATAAGAGTACAAAAAACAACCAAGAGAATACCCAATCTAATGGTAGGGACAAGTCCAGAAATATCGATAATAATGTTGAATGTTAATGGATTAAAATCTCCAATCAAGGGACACAGACTGGCTGAATGGAATTTAAAAAAAAAAAAAAAAAAACTATGTTACTAGATTACTGAGAAGAGCTCAGGGAAATGAAAATAGCCTTGAAGGCCATCCCACACAATGGGAAGTAGGAATGGGAAAGCAGGGAGAAGATGCATAAGAGCAAAAGCAAGTCAGAAAGAGAGACCACAAAAAATTATGCTCTTAGAGGTCAAGACAGGAGAGAAACTAGGAGGGAGAACGTTCATTGACAAATGCTGCAGAAAAGTAAAAGAGGATAAGAACTAAAATCCACTGGACTTTACAAAGAGTTTATAATGACCTTAAGCAACATGGTTTGCGAGTTGGGATTTTAAAGAAAATGTGTTGTAATAACACTGTTGTGAGACCAGCAGATTGCATAATGGTTACATTACTGGAATCCCACATAGTCAACTGCAGTTCAAATCCCGGATCCGGCACACAGTCAACTACAGTTTGAGTCCCAGATCCAGCAGCTTGAAACTCATGCTGGGCATATGTATGTGCATGCCTAAAATCCTGAGACAAGAACAAGGAGGGATTGAAGCACGGCAATCCCCCTGGGGAGTGATTTCTTGCTTTCTGTCTCTCTGGAGAGCACAAGCGCTCAATAGCAAAAATCTCTCTTAAAAAGAAAAAAGAAATAATGAATGCTGTTGTATGTCATATTTTGGAGTCTCTCTTTGCTTGTTTTCTTTTTCTGCACACATATTGTGCTGAATGTTTATAGCATTATAATTGCTTAGCCAATGAATGATAACATTTGTTAGTGGAAATTAGAAAACATATTTGTGAAATTCTGCAGAACTTATTTCTCTGTTTCCAATTTTTGTGGAAGATAAGAATTTTCAAAAGAAAATTAAAAAAAGAAAAGAAAAAGAAAAAAGCAACATGTTTCAGCAGACTGCTGCAGCCAAGCAAGGCCACAGAAGTACACACCCAGCAGATCATGAAGACAGTGGGACAGACAGCTGTAAACCTGCAAAACAAAGGGCCCCACTATAAAGAGGAAAGATGGAGAAATCAGCTCATGCTTCTGAGTCTCACTCACAATTCAGGCTTTATGAGTGCTCTGAAAACATTCTTAAAGTGACAGAAGCTCAAAAGTCATCAGCTACCTTACCTGGGAAAGGCACAAAGGCATGTCGCATGCTAACGGAAAAGGGCATTCCTTTGTCTGAGGCTCTCTCCTCCAGGTGTGCCTGGTGCTCAGGGTTCAGTCTGCGACCCTTCTTGATTTTGCCTCTGTGGTACAAACAACATCATCAGCTGGACAGGAAACAGTCTCAAATACAAGAAAGGTCTGTTTTCAAAAAAAATCAATATTTCCACCTAAGAATCTTAAAAACAACCTTACCCTAAACTTACTTCAAAATTTAACAAAGATAAAAGATCTCTTTCAGCAAACATTCAATTAAACACTAAGGCATTTCTATAATGGCATTTCCTGCAAATTATTTTTGATGTAATTGAAATAATAGATATAATCTTTGATTATATTTATTATAGTTTTGATTATATCTATTATAAATTACCTGTACTTTCTCTTCTTTTTATGTATATACGGAGGACAAGAGAGGGAATTTATACTGCTAAACTCTAAGTGTTTGATTTAAATAAGCCTAGTGTGCTGGTTGACTTAATGGTCCGAGTTTTCAGCCTTTTACCATCAACTAGCTCGTTTATAGACAGACAGGATTTGAAAGGTAGTGCCTAGAACAGAAATGGGAATGTCTGAAATATTAATTATATTGTCTAGTAGGCTACATTTGAACTGTCTGTACTCACAAAATATATTAATCAGAGATACAAAGAAACAAACAAACAAACAAAGTCTACCTGCCCATGGGGAGCAGGCCTTTGCCTAGGGCTTGGGAAGGTGGGCTTTCTTCTACTAGTGTTGGCATTTTGATTTCAAAATCTCTTGGCACATTCTGGATATTAGGTTCTGTAAAGGTTATTCGTCCTAAAATTAAGCGATATGAAGCATAAAATTAGAAGGGAAAAAAAAGCCCTCACGTTTATTTTAACAGTATTTGCATTTGTGAATTATCTTTAAAATGTATGCTCTATCAACACTTGAATAAAATACACTTATATTTAAATGAAATATTTTTCACCATGTCCTATATCTATCAATAATAAGCACAAGACCATTCAAAATAAATGAATGTATGAGTCAATAACAATACTATGGCTTACATTCACCCAGCGCTCTAGAAAATAATCTCGATAAGGATTCATTTGATAAGCTGAACTATTAGATGAGTATCAGATGTCAGCACTATACATCACATTATCAAATGGCTCTTAAGAAATGGCTGTTGAAGCCTCTAAAAGCTGGACATGCATAGGACAGAAGGGTTTTCTGGTGCAGAAGAGTAACTGCATGCTGAAGAGGACAACCGGGACCCAAGAAGGTAGCAAATATGGGAGATGAAGTAGTCGTGAGAGCTGTGAACGGAACACAGCATTCGGACATCTGGTGGGTTTTCTTCATCATCGTTATCAATCATCGTGTGACTAAAAAATAGTATTGATATGGCTGGAGACTAGAATCAGGTGGCTAATGAATTTTCTAATAAATAGAAAACTATTTTTTAAATGCTTATAAAGCCTTTATTCCATTCAAAATATTTTACATTTTATTTGCTTACTAATTGATTGAATTTCCCTAAAATATATACACATACCTCAGAAAAAGTTCAGGCAATTAATTTTGTTATCAGCATTTTTATAACACATAGACATCAACACTAAAACCCTCTGCTTTATGGTAGGTGCACACTTTCTACCACATATGATTTAATCTTCTTCTGGTGAGTGAGAAATGTTAAGTGCCTTAGACATTATTTTTTCTGTAAAACCCCTGATATTATATCATTGTGATTTAGCTATTAGCACAAAACAAGCACTCGATTAATAACTTTTTAATATAATTGTTATAATTAAAAGGCCTATTTAATATTATAAAGCTAATGAACAGCAGAGGAAGGCATCAGGCTCTTTCTACTTCAGCACACTGTCTTCTTTTCTTCTTTTTTTGTTTAATAGAGATATTTTTGCTATAGGACACTTGCCAGAGAGACAGGAAGAGAGAAGTCACTTTTCAAGAGGGATAGCCACACCACCATCACTTATCTTCCATTCTCTTCTTGAAATCTTGGGCATGCACGCACACGCACCTGGCGTGAGTTTAAGCCACCGGGTCTGGGACTTGAACCTCTGTTAACTATGTGGGAGTCCAGTAATGTAACCATTATACCATCTGCTAATCCTCAACACACTGCCTTCTTTCCTATAATAATAATTAATATCTACTGCTTTGCCCTGATCTACTAGCTAAATTAATGAGGCAACACTGGCAGACAAAAAAGACAGTAACAATAAATTATGAAGCATGAATATAACTTACAAGAAATGAAATGGCTTTGCTATGCTTAAGTAAGCTTGTGTTTTTAAAATATTATTAAAATTATTAAAATTAAAATATATTTCTAAAATAAATAATAAAAATGTACTACTTTCTGCTTTGTAAGATAAAACTAAGTGTGCAAGACCTCTAAAACCTCTAGGTTGACTCTGTTTTTATCTCCAGTAATTTTATTTTATATAAGCCTGTTTCATTAGCATATATTTTTAAAGCAAAATTTAAATATTAACAAGGCAAGAAATGATTAGAAAAGATCAAGAGGTTATATAACTAGTGAAGAAGAAAGAGAAAATTGTTTAGAATAAATAAAGCGAGAAAATTGCTCCTCCTGGAGCTTCCGCCCTTCATCCAGCAGCAGCTGCTGTGCAGCTTTCTGGGAGCCATGCTCTATTCCTCACAATGACCCAGAGGGGCAGAACGACTATTGCTGTGTTTCTTATACACAAGAAAACCAGGCAGTGAGAGGCTAAGTACTTGACTGACAGCTTCACAGCATCGGGATCCAAACCCTGATTTCTGATTTCAAAGCCCGCATTCTACACACCAATCTAAACTGTCCGGTGTATGAGTGAGTTAAAGCTGTCCTTCCTTCGTTCCACCACATGTCACGTGTGGCAAATATTTCGAGTTTTGTATTGCCTGGAGAAAGAGTACGTTTTTTCCCTCATTAGGTTATACTCACACCTATCACAAGAGGGTCCTGAGACAACCAAAGGATACTACAGCTTTCTGTGCTGGCTGGGTAAAATAAGACTCACTTATAGAGATGCCCCAGAGACCTACTTAGATTTAACGCAAAGAGAATCTTTTTTTTTTTTCTTTTTTTGAAGAGGTTTTTGCTATAGGGTGCCTGCGCTCACCAGACAGACAGAGAGAGACAGAAAGTGAGAAATAACCCCCCAGGGGGGATGGCCACGCTGCAATCCCTTCTCCTCCATTCTCCTCTCTGGATTTTGGACACACACGCACACACGCCCAGCATGAGTTTAAGCCACCGGGTCCGGGACTTGAACCACGGTCGACTACGTGAGAGGCAAGCAACATAGCCATTACGCTAACTGCTGGTCCCACGTGGAGAGAATCTTAAAAGGCTCAGGCAAAGGCTGGAATTTAAATTACTGGATTGTCAGAAAAATCATGATGTGTTTTCCTGTGCAAAAATGTGTCATGACTTTTCCAGCAACCCAATAGATAAAATCACTGACTCAAATATTTAATTCCTGTGTATACTCTCACCCAAAGCGCTGTCTCAGACATCTCAGTTACTCTAAACAAGTATTTGAAAGCAGAAACTAGGGGTCAGCAGATGGCATAATAGTTATGTTTCTAGATTCCCACATGGTTGACCACGGTTCAAGTCCCAGACAGAGTGGCTTAAAACTCGCTGCGCGTGTGTGCATGCCTGCTCAAGATCCCAAGAGCAGAATTGAGAAAGGATTGCAGCATGGCCATCCACCTGGGTGGGGAGCAATTACTCACTTTCTCTCTCTATGTTGCTATCTCTCACTCGCCCTATAGCAAAAATCTCTCAAAAAAGAAAAAAAAAAAAAAGCAGAAGCTATATCTTACAAAAACTCATCACTGTATTTCGGCAGTATCTATATCTTGGATATTAGTGTGTGCTTTATAAATGCTGTGGAACTTCACTGAACCCAATGATCAACAGTTGAATTCCTTGTCCATCACAAACAAATACCACATATTGGATATTACGCCTCTTTAAGACTCTCATCACCTGTTGCAGTGTGTGATTGTGTTACAGGATAAATCCTTTCCATTCCAAGAAAAGTATTCAGAAGCTTTTCCCGCTGCAGGGGAAAGACCACTTTGGTAATAGCATTACTGATTCTTCTCCATTCTAATATCAAGCCTGGTAAAGGATGTAATGTCTTTAATTTATTTAATACATCCTGCAAAGAAATAATATGGTAAAATTGGATTCTTATCCAAATTCTACAGCAAACGAGAAATTTTTTAGGCAAATAACACAGTCTCAAAATTAAAACTGATAATTCCCATATTTAGAGCTCAAAATCACCGTTTTAGTTTTATTAGAATTACCATAATGAAAAACTATTATAATTACAGTTTATAAAATAAAAATATGGTGATGCTGAGCACTAGCAATGTATAGCTACCTTAGAAAACAATCAATGAAATGTCAACTTAGCAAAGTAACTGGCTCCCTGCATCCCACCAAAAATTCACATTATCTCTTTTCTTTATGCATTTTATTCCTCCATTTCTCAAATAACTGGAAGTATCCTAATTTCTTTCTTGCCTGGATACTTACAATGGTTTCCATATCAAGAAAATCAGAAAACATTTATTTTTAAAACTTAGAGTTTTCCATGCTATTGACTTTTAACGCTTTATTAAAGAATGGAAACCTGGTAAAAAGGCTATAGCATGGAACCATGGAAACTTCTCAAGGATAGGCAAGTCATAGTTAATGATATAAGGGTCAAAATCCTACAAAATGGCAAGTTGGACAGATCCCTACAGCTGTGGTCACTGTAAAATCTACCCTCATTTTTGTACTGAAACTTCAGCAAAAATATAAAACTAAGCCCTTTTTCTCTTCTCTCTCACTACTGCATAGGAAAATAATCACACGTTTATGCATAGAAAAACACATCATGACTTTTCTAACAACCCAATGGTTTCTGGGGGTTGTGATGAGCAATTTTACTTTGAAATTAGATTCTTAAAACAAACTTATAAGAAATTTACTTTTCCCCCTAGAACTGGGAGTTTGGGGGGGAAAAAAGTTGGATTAGTTCTGACTGGGGTCTGTTTTCCTTTCTTAAAATTCTGCAGTACCCTCTTCCATGTTCATATAAGTATACAAATTATTCTAGAAGTCCAAAAGTAGTAGACTGCAATAATTAAATATTGGCTAGGTCTGAGTTTACAAACCTTCATACTGTTTTAATTATAAATTTTAACTCAGGTTATGGTCCGTATTTTCCACACTAGAATGCATCTGAAATGTGTCCAGATTTTTTTTTTTTTTTTGGAGAGATTTTCACTGTAGGGCGCGTGCGCTCGCCAGACAGAGAGAGACATAGAGACAGAAAGCGAGAAATCACCCCCCAGGGGGGATGGTCACGCCGCAATCCCTTCTCCTCCATTCTCCTCTCGGGATCTTGGGCACGCACGCACTCGCGCCCGGCGTGAGATTTAAGCCACCGGGTCCGGGACACGAACCGCGGTCGACTACGTGGGAGTCCAGCGACATAGCCATTACGTTAACTGCTGGTTCCCAAATGTGTCCAGATTTTGTGGGCTGCCAAACTATGAGCCAATTTATTCGTTTGTGTCTGGGTAAGTTAAGTGATCCCTGGTGGGTCTTGATTTAATCAGCATTCATCAGACACCAAATGCTAAACGCAGTTCAGATTCTGCCCTATTACTGCCCCCAAAGAGCACCTTACTAGTGCTGAATTGTCTTCCCAGCCTTAGCTTGCGTCCACTGTCAATCCCCCTCCTGGTAGAACCCAAAGTTTTCTTGATGCCTTGATTTTTCATCTCTCCATTTGGTGGCAACTTCAATTCCAAAAATAAAACCTATAAGAAATTAATGCTCCTTTAGTTGAGAATCAAATCATACATACTGTCACTCAGTATTTTTTAAAGTTATTTGAGAAAATAATCTCTATAGTTCAACGCTGGCTCCTTTGGACCATTGAGAATTGTCATGGTTAATAAATGATAGCAACGAAAAACAAATAGATGATAGCAATGAAAATTTGTACGTCAGGTAAGTGATCATATGCTAATTTATGCACTATCAGATTAATACTAACACAAGGCTTTTAAGCAAGAGCACAGGCAATGTTTACTCTATGCTGAGCAAGTGGCGGAAGAGATACTGACAAAAAATTTAAAAAAAAAAAAAAAAAAAAAAAGAAAGAAAGAAAGAGTTACTGACATTGAGACTTGAGAATACCCCGAGGACTTGAGTACTCCCAAATACCTACTGAAGTGGTAACCCACAGAACTGCTCCATCATTTAATTGCCATTAAAGATCAACACGGGAATCTATGTAGCTGTTCCATGACCACAAAGTAAGAGAACGCCTTGGCAAAAAGGCATCTAAAAAGCCATCTAGTCCCACCACCATACCACTGGAACCAGCCAAATCTCTAGGCACAGAAAGTTGGGAAAACTTAGCCAATAAAATGTAGCAATATTGGAGGCTAGAGAGTGGCCAGTAAATACCCATTAAAAGAAAAAGGTCTACAAAGAACAGGGAGCCAAGCTCTGGGACAGAGAAAAGATCCCACATAAACCTAATACTTAGTAGCTCAAATTTTATGAGTCAAAACTTAGGCAAGTCAGAATATTATCTACTATACCTATTCATTTACCTAAATACTTTGAATGGGCTTCAATGAACCATGGATTATTTTTCCAGTAATAATTCTAAAAATTTAAACCAACCATAGGAAAAATTGTTTCCATATGTTGGGCCACAGGTGGAAGGAAAGATATGCCTGTAT